GCGCGCAGCCGCCCCGCTCCTGCGCGGGGGCTGCGCGCTGGATTGCGCGGGGGCTGCGCGCCCCGCCGGCTTCGTCCCGGGGGCCGCCGGCTCGCTGCTGCCCGCGGCGGGGCGCGGCTCGGGTGGGCTTGGCTTGGTGGGGCGGGCGCGGGGATGCGGCGGGCGGCGGCGACAGGGAGGCAGGCGCGGGCTTCGGCCTTGGGCGTAGCCGGGCGCCGCTTCTCCGTGGGCAGGAGGCCACGGGAGGACCGGGCCCGGCCCCGCGGAGCTTCTAAGCGGGGAGGGCTTTGCCCCCCCCCCCCCCGGCGATCGTGCCCGGGTGTTTTTCCCTGGAGTCGAAAACTTTTGCGATGAAGCCGAAGCGGCCGCGGACTCGGCGCCTGCTCGGGCGGAGTTTCTCTTGGCAAAGGAGCAGGCGATGTATTTGCAGCGATTTTGTTCCTGGCATTGCCCGACATCCTGCCGCGTTACTCCGATTGGTGCCAACGCGCGTTATCGTAGGGTTGGGGGAGGTGAGGCTGGGAAATCCACCTTGCCCTATGGCAGCCAGCAAGTTCCTAGCTGAGTTGAGCTGGGAGCAATAATATAATTTGCATCCATTAAGGGTGAGGTTCTAAGAAAAGTAAATAACGAAGGCTGCTCTCACATAATTGGATTGGTTGGCCTGGCATAGCAATATATCAGCCAAGGAAAAGATCAGACAGAAGCAGCACCTGGAAAATGTATGCATTGACTCCCCTATTAGTACTGTCATGAAATAAGCTTCTCAGCTGCTACAGGAGCTCCCTGAGCACAAAGGGGATGCAAACCAGACCGCATCCGATGCATGTACTGAGTCAGGGTGAGCTTATTCTGACCTGAGCTGGGAGCTGCTGGTCTGGATTCTGCATCTAGACAGATCCCACCTGCTGCAGGTGGAGGCCACTGCAGGCCTAGCGAGGTGGCCTGGCCCTCGGGTGGCCAGCTGGTGTGCTCCAGAGCAGGAATGGTGGGCCAAGGTCCCATGTGGGCACAGCAGAGGCTGGGATAGTGCTGAGCCAGCGCTCTGGCCTTTCAGGGATCCACAGAGAGTCTAAGAAGCCTCGGGATCTCTAGCTACACGATTACCTCCGCCTTTTCCTCACAAAAACCTTTCTTGTATTTCTTGCCACCTCCTTGATCTTCTGATCACCCTTTTCAATCTTTTCACTTGCATTTACTTGCCTCCCTTTTCAACCCCCCTTTCCCCGCTTCTATCCCTTGCAAAAATATGCAAGAAAACTCTCCATCATCTTTCAGATCCTTACACCTTGTCTTCCTTGCTTCCACCCTGATGGCCCTCCACCCAGCATTGTGTGAGTGTGGCGCTAGGAGGCCTTCCACCAATGGCTACTCTTTGTGCCTCTTTTGCTTGGGGGGGACTTTGTGGGACAGGTGCCCCCACTGCTGGGCTCTCTCCTAGCAGGCCCATGAAAACATCTCAGGAGGGAGATGTGGGCTGTGCCCCGGGCACCATGAGAGACGGCCCTGCGTGTATCGGGGTCCCCTTTCTGACCCCAGTTCCATTATTTATTCAAACATGTATTTATAAGGCAGGCACTTCATTATAGGGCAGGCGCTTCCACCGTCTATCTCACTTCTTCAACTGGCTTTGGCTCTTCCAGGAAGTTCTTTCTGCTGCGCTTAACATTTTTCTCTCTCTCTTTTTGAAGCAAATCTAGTGCCTTGTTTTACATGCCTGATCTTTTCCTCGCAGGCTCCTCTTCCTGATCTTTGTGTGGCAGGCTGCCTTATGGGGTTCTGGATTTCAGATTCGGGGTGGGGGATCAGTCTCCCACTGCAGTTTCAGATTGCAATGCAGCTGGTTGTGTTTACACACGGACTGGCTTGTGTAGACCTGCCCTTGCAGCTCCTAGAAGCCGCTGCACGGAAGCAAGGTGGGAGCAGACCGAAGCTCAGGCTTGCTTGCTTATTTTCACTAACACGCCTCTCTGTGTCTCCAACAGAAAATGATCCACAGTCTGTTTCTTATAAACTGTTCTGGCGACATATTCCTGGAGAAGCACTGGAAGAGCGTGGTCAGCCAGTCGGTGTGTGACTACTTCTTCGAAGCCCAGGAGAGAGCCGCCGATGTCGAAAATGTGCCTCCAGTCATACCCACACCTCACCACTACCTCATCAGCATCTATCGGGATAAAATATTTTTCGTGTCTGTCATACAGACAGAAGTGCCGCCGCTCTTTGTCATTGAATTCCTTCACCGCGTAGCAGACACGTTCCAGGTGGGTCTGTAGGGCAGGTGCTCGGCTTCAGGCAGGAAGGGGCACCCTTGTCATACCTGGCCTTCCTGCCCTTGTGAGCCTTCCCCGTGGACCCAAGCATGTTTGCCGTATTCATGTTGAGTCATATTTTACACATACATGGTCCAGCCTGGTTTTTCTTCGCTTCTTAGGCGAAGGTAAGCTGCGATTGTCCACAGATTATTCCAGACCCTGCCACTGATGGGACGGTTTCTCTGAATTTCTGAGTGGCACAAGATACATGCAGTTTTCCTGTATGGGAGCAGTATCAGCACTGGGAGCATGTTACATGTAAACGCTTTACTGGTTGAGGAAGAATCCATGCTTGCAGAATCTTTCAACAAATAGGTGTTATGGCAGTTGCTAAATTATAGCAAAGGCACTTTCTGTTTGGGCTTGGTTTTTATGTGCAGGTAAAGTTTTTACCCAGAATAAATTGCCTTCTTTGCATCCTCTGCCTGCTTTAGGATTACTTTGGAGAATGTTCCGAGACTGCAATTAAGGACAATGTCGTTATTGTGTACGAGCTTCTGGAAGAAATGCTGGACAATGGCTTTCCACTGGCAACGGAATCCAATATCTTAAAAGAACTCATTAAACCCCCCACCATTCTGCGCTCTGTTGTCAATTCCATTACAGGTATGTGTGCAGCTTGGAAATGTCACCAGGTCTTAAATTATTAACTTTGAAATCAAAGTTTGGTTCTTCCGTCCTTCTCAAAATTTGCTGTTTATGTGTAAAAGTAAGCAGTGGGGGGAAACCTTTGGCTATTTATCCATTTCTTGTTTTTTAAGCAGTTAGTGATCCGTGAGAGAACCCATTCTGCAACCCCATAAGCGCTAGTTTCCTTGAAATGAATTTCCTCAAAGTTTTTTGAAAGGCCCCAGTATAGATTAGCTTATAATCTAATACATAGATTAGCTTATTGAGAAGCGTGTTGATACACTGGAAGACAAAAATGTATTTGAGGCATGATTTCCTTTTGCAGAAGTGGCACTCATTTTCAGCAAAGGTTATTCTTCCATATGCTAGACTATGTGGCATGTAACTTCTGGAATACCTTTTTAAAACATCAGCATCAGTTGGCTACTTTCCCATCTTCTGGTACGGAGACTGCTTTTTATGACAGGCTTCGTGTTTTTCTCAGGATATTGATGTTTTACTGGCTTCTTTGACTATTCTTGTCTTTCAAAGGCAGTAGTAATGTGGGAGATACTCTGCCAACTGGACAGCTCTCAAACATCCCATGGAGAAGAGCTGGTGTGAAGTACACAAATAATGAAGCTTACTTTGATGTGATTGAGGAAATCGATGCCATTATAGACAAATCAGGTAAGATGCTTGCCAAGCTGTTTTCATCCTTGGAAAGTGTGAAGCTGAATAATAGCACAACAGGACTGGAAAAAATCTGCCTTTTAACTAATTCTTAACTCTGTACCATCTATGAAAACCCACTTCATATCATCACTTATATAGTAGTTTAGATGCTCACTGCTTCTCTTTACAGGTAGGATTCCCCTTTATAGAAACTATGCTTATTTTCCTCCAACATGGTTTATTTCTGTAATTGCTAGGCGAGCTAACCTGTAACTTGTAAGGTCAGCGCTATCCCATATTACAACCGGTTGAACCGGTCGACTTTTCCTAAAGCCAGCATGCGAGCTCACAGAGACATAGAGCTGAACTGATACAGCTCTGTCTCCAAACTGCAGTGCTCATAAGTATCCGCGAAGAAAGCAGCAGCCCTTTGTTCTAGAGTGGCATTCAAAAGAACAACTCCAGAAGTTGTTTGTTAGCTGCCCCAAGGGTGAATTATGTCCAGGGAACAGAAACGCAATGTAGAGTATCTAATGCTTCCAGTGCTGGAACCCTTTTAAAGAGCTAACACTTGCATAAGCCAATTTTCTTTTGAACAGGCTCTACAGTCTTTGCAGAAATTCAAGGTGTTATTGATGCCTGCATCAAGCTCTCGGGGATGCCAGATCTTTCACTGTCTTTTATGGTAAGCCGAGTTCCTCTGGCTCTTTGTTGAAAATTGTTGACTGTTGAAAATCATTTATTTTAATCGGTGAAAGGAAGGGCTGTAAAGTTGGCCGCTGCTCCGGTGAGAGCTTCTAGCCTTTTGTAAGGAAGGGTGAGGGATCAGAGCATGAACACCGGCACGAGGGTTTCTTCACCAGCTTCTGGTTATTTTTTAACTAGGAACTTTTCCTAGTTTTTTAAAGTTAGCTGTCCTACATGTGCAACTATATAATATGCTTTGATTGCTCCAGCCCCCTCCCACACACATTTTTTGAACCATGCAGTGCTGTTTTGGGGGAGACAAAAGGACGTTCAACATCCTTTAAGATGGTCTCCCAGTCTTCAGGCTGCACCAGAAAATGTAAAAAGTCCACCCACTGCCTCAGTGACTCCATCCAGCCACCTCAACCTCTGCCATCCCCTTCTCCTTTTGCTGTCATTCGGGGAGTCCTTCCTTCTCAATAGGTGTCCAAAGTATTTGAGTTTCATCTTCAGGATCCGGCCTTCTAAAGAGCAGTCAGGGTTGATCTCCTCCAGGACTGACCGGTTTGATCGCCTTGCGGTCCAAAGGACTCGCGGGAGTCTCCTCCAGCACCACAATTCAAAGGCCTCAGTTCTAGCACACAGCTGCCTCAAGAGGGTAGAGGGTGTCGAGTCGCATTGGAGCAGCACACCCCTTAGACCGGAGGCCGGGCGGGAGTCTCAGGCACTACCTTGCTGGACAAGGTTGCCAGGAGCATACTGCTTTGCCCGACCTCAGGTCTGAAGAAAGCGGAGAAAGTAGCATGCTTCGTTTTTGCCAGCATGCAAGATTTTGCAGAAGCTGGTGTAGATTACCCGTTCTTTATTAAATAATAATCATTATTAAATGAAGCCATCTTGTGCATTGCTACTTACTGTGTTCCTTGGTGCTTACTCCTTGGTAAGCATGCATTGCAGCGAAGTAGGAATTTCAGCCTGGGACTTTGCTGGGAGAGACCGCTTTTGAGGGAATGAACCCCCCAGACACCACAGAAACACAAGGAGCGGGCGTGTCTAGGGCCGCCCTGCCAGTCTTGGAGACGTAGGGCATGGGTGTGAGTTGCCAAAGGCCAGCTCGCGAGTTTAACTGAACCAGGTTTTAAGTATGCTTAGACGCACCACTCACGCATCTCGGTGGTTCGTACTTCTCTGTGCGCTGGTCATGGGAAAAGCTTCTCTTGTTTAACTTCCTGTAGAATCCAAGACTACTAGACGACGTTAGTTTTCATCCTTGCATCCGATTCAAGCGCTGGGAGTCAGAAAGAGTCCTGTCCTTCATTCCTCCCGATGGAAACTTCCGATTGATCTCATACCGGGTCAGCTCACAAAAGTAAGTTTGCAAGGAGCAGACGTGTGTGGAAATGTGAAGGCCCAGGAAAAAGTGGAAGAACTGGGGGAAAGCCATGTTTTCTCCATTTTCCCCCGAGGATGTTTTGTGTCCTGTCCCATTGAACATTTTTGGATTATTTATTCATTCATGACCTTTATTCCTTCCAAATGGTTTCTAAGAATTACATAATGTGAGGTATATGGACATTCTGAGGCCATGGCAAAACATAGATTTAACTCACTCTGTAGGGTTCAAAATGAAGTTCTTTTTTACGAGTCCAATGTATCTTTTAACTGCTGCCACCAAACTAATTTCAGGTACCCAGAAGAAATGTAGGATCCTGATTCTTGTAGCTTAGGGACAGAATGGACACACTTTTCAAAGATGATTTTGTTTACAAAAAGAAAATAAAAGGTCACTTTTCAAATAATAGGTTAGGATTACGTTAGAAGTTCTCAATGCCAGGTAAGTGAAGTGCATTTGGGGAGTTCCCCTGGACCTTTGGTTTATTTAGGGCAGAATAGCCCAGGCTTTTGAGCCACAGGCTGATGGCACCCACCATCCGTGAATGGAGGCTCCGAGGGAGGACACAGTCCCATCCGTTGGCCACTCAGGGATTGGATGCCCCCAGACTTGGGGCCACTTCTCCCCGTGCTGCAGGATTCCCTGGATGAGCTTTTCAGCCAGTTTAGCAAGGGTCGGGGAAGAGGTTGGATGGACTCAGGGTAATTCATATCCTGCCTCCTCTGATCATTTCCCTGCCTGCAAGGAATGGACTGGAGTGCAGAGTGGGAATTGCAGACCAGGTCTGAGCAGAAGTGGGGTGTTAGGCTCCACTCACGCTGGGGCTGGGGAACCCATGAACGCGCCATTCAGACCCGCCCCCGCATCCCAGGCCCTCGCTCGGTGTAGCAGCACGTCTGCATACAGAGAGCCGGGAATCCCCCACCTGCTTCCTCCCACAAGGCCTTTTACCGTTCCTCTTAGCTTAGTGGCCATTCCGGTATACGTGAAGCACAGCATCAGTTTCAAGGAGAATTCCTCTTCTGGGCGATTCGACGTTACCATCGGGCCCAAGCAGAACATGGGGAAGACGGTGGAAGGCGTGGTCATGACAGTCCACATGCCAAAAGCGGTGCTCAACATGAACCTCACGGCCACTCAAGGCAATTACACCTTCGATCCTGTCACTAAGGTGAGTCCCGTCCTGCCGGCTGGGCACCTCGGGCCCTCTTGCTTATCCGGGGCTCCTTGGCCCTGGTCTGCCGTCTGGGCGATTCTGCAGGCAAGCCGCCCGTTCTGGACCTACCCAGCTCTGTGCCAGTGCAGGAGATCTGCTGCAGATGCACCTCGGACAGGTGCTCATTTCGCCTCTCCCTAAGAGCTTAACAAAGAAGTTTCCTTTTCTGCTGTCGAGGTATAAGGACGGATGGCTTGGTCCACACGGATTGACGCCGGATGGCTGGGCAGCTCCCAGAGTCGCTGCTCCAGAGGACTAGGACAGGCGGGCAGGAGAGACACGGATGGCCTCGTACACCATGCATCTGTCCCATTCGTCGATAAAGCTGTCCTGGGTTGTTGAACTGTGAGCACAGCTCACAGTTCAGCCACACACTGTGTGAGGAAGGGCGGCCTGTTGACTCTTCCAAGTCCTTGGCTGGTCGGCTGTTTTTGTACTAGGAGGGACAAAGGTTCTGTCTTCTCTTTCTCAGTACCATGCATAGTTTAGAGACACCTCCGTCGTGTCCTGCCTTGCTCATTTTTTCTGAGCTAGAGGGTGTCAGATGTTGAGATGGTCTTCAAAGGGAGGGCTTCCCCCCCCCCACACACACACACAATTTTGCTCGCTCCCTTGTCGCTTTTGCTCAGTTCAGCAGTGCCGATTGGACAGATGATGGGAGCAAACCAGTTTGCTTTGGAACACTTTGTCAAGCCTTTATTTGTCCACCACAGTGCTAGTCCTTATGAAAAATGCATTGCACAGGTTAGCTCTGGAAGAAGATGCTTCCAGCCAGAGAACCAGAGTACCTGGTGGAAGACTCCTGGAGCGGTGCCCTAGGGACACTGCGTTTCCCCATCTGTCCTCCTGCCGCAGCTGCGGCCGCCGGAGCGCACGCATATCTGCAGTGCAGGGATGCTGGCGTTGATTTCCTCTGCAGAACTGCTGCAAGGATTGCCGGGACACCGTTACAAGAGGCACAGGTAGCCGTGGGGAAAGTGCCCACCTTGGTGGTTGTTTTCTAGGTGTTGGCGTGGGATGTCGGCAAGATTACCCCTCAGAAGCTGCCCAGTCTGAAAGGGATGGTGAATTTGCAATCGGGCGCTCCCAAGCCAGAGGAAAACCCCAGCCTGAATGTTCAGTTCAAGATCCAGCAGCTGGCTATCTCAGGTGAGAACAGCCCTGGCAGAGGTGCTCTCCTACCAAGACGGTTGTGTGAATCTGGCAGGCTGGGATGAAATGCAAACACCCGTAGTCTTTTTCCGGCCTTGGAGGAGACGGTGCTTCTCCTGCTGCCGGCGGGGGGCTCATCAGAAAGTTGTGCAGCCTGAATGCACGGATTGCGCTTCGTCACACTGGAATATTTCCATACTAAAAATGTTCATGCCGCACATTATTTTACGATCATTAGATTTTTTAGCTGCACCTTCATGTGCTGGAAGCCACCCAGTGTCACTAGCAAGCTTCATCTGAACAGAGCAGCTCACAGCAATTGTGTGGTGCAATGGCCATTGCCTGGTTGCAGCCCCCCCCCCCCTTGTGGCCGGGTCAGGCAGTTCTTCCCACAACCTGCCGTGTCCCTGGCAGCCAGGGCTTTGTGGCTCCTTCAGTGGAATTTTCTAGGTCAGGTTTTCCCTCTGGGCATTTTAAGAAGCTGTTCGCACAGATGTCACAGGGTTCTGTGCCAGTCTCCAGGTTCTTTGTGGACCTGCTTTGCTTCCGTGCCTGTTGATACTTAACTCAGTCACCTGGTTTTACTATTAGAACAGGCTAGGGTAGCAGGGAGAGAGAGTCTCTCTGCTGCCTGACTGCAGAATTTAGTTGCTACATGACTGCGCCAGCCCGGGAAGGGAAGGGCAGGTTTCATCAGAAAGTGAAACAAATGCTTGATTCTGTATGCTTGGAATCTTAACCCCCACAAAGTGGCTAAAGATTTGCCGAAAGAGTAAGATAGGAACTTAACAGGCTTTGAAGAACTCCAGCTCCCATCAGTCCTACCAGCCTGGCCAGGCATGATAGGAGGAAGAGCTGAGCGGTACCAGCAGGGCTGTGGGTTCTCTCCTGCAGGCTGGAAAGGCCGGCTGGCCCCCTGCACATTGAATAACTGAGCTTCAAAGGGGGGAGGTCAGAGATGGCCTCACACATCAGTCACTTCTGATTCTGGCTTCAAGCTGGCCTTTCGCGGGAGTTCCTAATCCGCATTGCAAACCATTTTAAGACTGCTGGCTTACAATCTTTTTGAGAGATTTTAAGCACGCTTTTGTTCCTCTTTTTAGGACTGAAGGTAAATCGCCTTGACATGTATGGAGAAAAATACAAGCCGTTTAAAGGTGTGAAGTATGTTACAAAAGCAGGGAAATTCCAGGTACGAACATGAGATGCAAGACCCCTTCCTGGCAGAGCAACAGCGGCTTCATAAGTGTCTCTTTCCATCTGAGGGGAAAATGAGACGAGACGCAGGGCCTTTTCACTTAGGTGCAAATTTCTCTAATCCGATTGATTGATTCCCACGAACTGCAGCCCTTCGGATTAAACCATCCCTTGATAGGTCTTTCTATATATGGCTTTCAAGTAAGAATAACTTTCCGTAAGTGTTTCCTTTTTGTGGACCACTTTGTTCACAAAGTGTAATTACAACCAGCGACTGTCTGTAGAAGCAGTTAGTGCCGCCGTGAGGCAGCCTCCGTACACCGAGTCTGGGCGAGCGGCTGCGAGGAGCACAGACCTGTCTGGCCAGCTCCGAAGCAAACAGAAGTCCTTGCAGCCTGTCCAAAATGGGCACGCCATGGTTTTGTGAGGCCCGTCGGGAAAAGCGGGGACCAGCTCCCCGCGAAAGGGGCCATCGGCGGTCCCAAACCTGCTCTCTCTCCAACGTTCACAACACGCGGCCTTTTTAAGCCAACTGGTTTGCCTTGCCATCTTCCGAATTCAGCAGACAATCTGTAGCCGATCCTGTTTTCTACAACTCGCTTTACTTTGAAGGTGCAAAATATTTGGGGGCGAAACCTTCATTTAACATGTACCACACCTTTGAAGGTCTTTCCCTCCACTGCACTCCATGCCATGCCCACCTGAAGAGCAGCTTTCCACCGGTGGCAAGCTCTGTCGAATGGTTTAATTGCCTGTTTGTAATAAATAAAGGGAAACGCGGCCGCACCGGCTTGTCTTTCCAGTAACTGTTTGGCTTTCTGATCGCCTGTGAGCAACACGACCATCACTAAACCAGGTGGAAAAAGTTGGATTCAGACCTTGTCCTGGAGAGAAGCCCCCAGGAATCCTTGACATCGCAGCTGGCTCGGCTTCTCGCGAGAGCCTGCAGAGCCCGTGCGGTGGCAAGAGTGCTGGGCCAGGAGATCCGGTTCGAGTCCCCACGTGTTCATGACGCCTGGTGGCTGACTTTGGGCCAGTCACCCTCAGCCCAGCCTACCTCGCAGGGTCAGTTGCATAAGGATAAAAGCCTTGGGACCCTCCCAAGAGGCAGGATGCAAATGCAGTGTAGCTGAAGTATGATGATTCTGGATCCAGCCGCATGTGATTCGGTTCACCTTCACAGGAGCAACACCATGCAGGTGAAAGGGCTTTCACAGCCTGGGGGCAAGACACCATGTTGCTTGTTAGGAGCAAGAGGGAAAATGTGCTGCTCTGAGCAAATTCTACGAGCTGCTATGAATTTACTCTAACGTGCTGTCTATACAAACAGTGCTATCGGTTGCATTACTCCGGCTGGCTTCACACGAATACGGTAAGCCCCTTGGGAGTGTTCCCATCCATGTGGTCAAAATTCCTAGCACAGCAGTTCTGTGCTGCCTTGGCCCACTACCAGGGCCCTTAAAGAACACCGAGAGAGATGTCCACAGTCTGTCTGGGATGCATGTTTGTCGGATGATCACCCGGGGTCTATGAGCAACCCCCAGAATAAGAGAACACGCCTGCTTGCTGCCCACCCCCGTTCTTAAACAGTACGTCGTGAACTATCCTCCGGTTCTGCCATTTGCCAAGGTTTTCTGTTCCCAGAGAGGAGCGCTAATAGTCTACGCTCTTCCATATAAAACATTTTTATGGCTTCTGCCTAACAGGGAACTTTTCATTTAAAAACACTTAAAAGTATTTCCATTCCAACCTATTTGTTTATATACAAATGCATTTTTATTTTGTTTGAACAGAACAAAGGAGGTTGAAAATATTAGCATATACAACAAACTTCTGGTTTATAAACAAAGGTATTTAGTGGCAAAATGCTCCTAACTGACATTCAAGTTTGCTTCATTAGGCCTGATGGACAAGAGTGCTCAGGAAAGCTTAAGTTGCATAAGTTGTACAGGGTATTAACTCCTATAAAAGACTTTTGAGCTTAGGAAACATTCTGAAGAAGTATCAAAGGCAAATACGATACAGAGCTTTCCTTCAAACATTCCTTAACAAAAACAGTCTTTGGTATAAACCATCATGTAATTAAAGGCATTAGTAATATTGCATTAATACAAAAGTCAAGCTACTAAACCGTGATTTAAAAAGCTTGTGATGAAAGGCTGAACTATGAGTTGATAAAAGACCTTCCACAAGGAAAGCTGAAAGGCCCTCTGGAGTTCGAGTTCACCCAAACCGAGCGTGGGGCAAGGCACCCGGGCTGAGGGGGTGGCGTTCCTTCCCGTCTGGCTGCAGCTACTCCACTTTAAAGATTAGGTGACGATCGGGGCACCGGGCGGTCGGCCACCAGGCAAGCGCCATGAAGGGTGTGCTCAGGAGCTTCGCTGCTCCTGGCAGTGGCAGAGAAGTCCCCGAAAGGCCATGCTTGCTGTGCATTTTCCATGTCAACTGAACCCGGGAGAGGACGCCGCAGCGAGGCCCCAGGAAGCGAGCTTGTAAGCAAGTGCTGCCTGGCCTGTCTGCTCGCCCAGAGGGCATGCGTGCGCAGGCCTCCGCGCAGGATTTCTGCCGCATGCATGCGTGGGATCGCGGCAACATCACCGTTTCTCTGCTAATGCCCGAGCAACGCAGCAGTTGGGCCGATCGATGCCCGTTAGGCGCATCTGCTCAAGGCAAACGTGCTCGTTCATTAGCATCTGTGGAGCTTGCGTGGGAAATACCCTGCAGCGTTGGGCCCTACGTCATCCGGTCGTGATCGGTCCTCGAGGAGGGCTAGCCCTCACTTGCCCGAAAGAGGCCGCCTCGGTTGGCTGCGGATGGGGTTTTGCCACAAGGCGTGTAAGGCCTGAAGTGAGGATGGTCGCCAAAGCCTCCCGGGAAATCTGCTATCGTACCTCCAATGCCTCCCTTTGGTTATTAGCTCAGAAAAGCGAGAAGATGCTCCACTACTAGAGGTAGAGCAGAGCAGGCGCATCTCAGACAACCCCTTGTGTTCTCCTATTGCTGCCTTGAGCAAGCTCAACTAGAAGTTTGAGGCGAGCGAGTGCACGAACCGGTGGCCTCAAGGGCAGGGAGCAGCTACCCTTCGCCTCCCCTGCTGGCGTGATGCACGGGAGGCGCGGCTGCCCCCACACCGCGGCTGGCATGCAACTGCTCTCAGCAGGGAGCACTGGTCAAGTTCAACCCCGCAAGGCACTGAGCCAACTTCACTGGTAGTCAGGGGAGATTTATTCCCAGTCTGATGGCTCACAGGTGACTCTTGGGCAGAAAAAAGCCAGTGGCCTCAGCTTCTGAGCACAGCACCTGCTTCCCCCAACCAAGGGAAATGTTGGGGAGGAAACTTTTAAACACACCTAGCCACACACCTGTTTAGAAAGAAAAGGGAGCAGAAAACAGAAACCCCGGACTACTTTGTTTTCTGATTGTCCCTCACAACAGCTAAGTGAAAAAAGAGCATCCCAGAGTTTCAATCCAAGCTAAAGAGAAATCCTCATAAATCGCCTTGTATAGAAACCTGTGGAATATACAGTGCATAACGGAGCAGGGGATGGGGAAGCATAGTGTTATGAAAACAGATCCAAAACACCCTTGTCAGCAAGAGAGAGAGAGAAGCAGCCATTCTGGAGTCTAACTATGGTGAGGTTACATACCAAAAGAGCGTGAGCTCAACCCATGGTTAAACTCCTTTAGAATGGCGCTTCGTGGGACTCGTTTAACCTTCGCAGCACCTTTTAGCCGTTACGAAACTCTCTCTGCTTCACAAGGGATCCCATTGCAAAAGCCAATGCCTAGGGAAAGGACAGGCTCTTTACTGGTACCAAGGAGTTTTCCGGACCCAGCGCAGAGTAAATCCAGCATCTGTTCTAATCTTAATAGAGGCAGCTTCGGCTTCTCGGACCGTCTCCTTCACCGACTGCATCAAGTTCTGGGCATTGTGAACCAGCATCTCAGTGGCCTGCAGGAGGGAGAGAGGGGGAAAGGGTTCGAAACACAGTTTTGGAAGACCAGCCTTCTTGCTTGTATCCATAGCTTGGCTTTTGGCTACGGGACTAGCTGAGGACAAGCCACAATGCCTCAACAGCCTGAAGCCAAAGACTCCATTTGTGTGTAATGGTGCCAAAGGGGATGCAGTCAGGCATCTGGAATATTCCACACTCGATTGGCCAGCTGCGTTGCCGCCTGACATTCACACCTGAACACTGAGTGTTACCTGTGGGTTAAATGGTGGGTTACTATTAAATTAGGAGAATCTGATTCTCCCTGACTGCAAAGAAACCAAATGCACGGAAAATGCCAGTGCTGGTGAAGAACTTCAAACAGATGAGAGGGATTCTTCCCATAAACAAAAACCTGGAGGCCCTTTGAGGACTCGGTTGTGGCCCCTTCACAGCGCGACCCAAGCAGTATTTCCACCAAGCATACGCGCCACAAAAAGCGCACCCGCAACTAGACGGACCGTGCACTCGGAGAAGCACTTTGCTTGGTAGCATCCACTCATCCTTTTCTCAGTGTCCATGTCAGAAAACATTCTGGATACATCCTGGGTGTGAAGAGGCCCTTATACATAAGTGCCCCTTTTTTAAAATTTTAGGAGGCAGAAGATGAGTGGAAAAGAGGAGACCCTGGAGGCAGCGCCTGCTCTCTCCAAGGGCCCGTTGCCCATGCGGCAGGCAACCCAGGCGCTGCATCCGCCCCATGAAAGGCAGTCGGGGACATCACCTGCTCGGACTCCTCGTCACTGATGTTAGTCCGGCCCAGCATCGTTGCCTTGACCGTGGAGAGAATCTTGAGCTGTGTGCTGATGGTTGGGATTCGCTCGCAGACCTGAACAGAGACAGAATTGCAAGCTGCTCAAACCGCCCAATTGCGGGACTGTTTTCTGCCACACGGGAAACCTTCAAGGCGCAACTGGGCAGCCCTCCGAGTGGGAGGGTGTGATGTGGTGCCCTGCAACAGCAGGGGGGCGGACGCGATGGCCTTCATGCCCTCTTCCAACTCTACTATTCTAGGATTCTCAAGGAATGGCTGGCTAGCACTGCTCAGGGGGGACGGGTCCCCCAAGGGGCATCCTTAAAAAGAGGAGGGGGATGAGAATAAGCAGGCACTGGCCGTTTCCCCGGAGAGGGGCCAGCTCAAATCCGAGCCATGCTTGCTTCCCTTTGGCAGGAGGGGAGCCGTTCAGGGAAGGTGCTGCCGGGGGGCGGGGGGGGGGAGTGCAGGCAGGCAGGCTCTGCAATCATTTTACCGCAGCCTTTGACCCTCCCAAGCTTCCAGAGAAGCTTCCACTCCAAGCATTCAGAGAACTGCCTCTTGTTGGAAGGGCCCACCAGGCCAAGCTGGCCGCACAAGCAACCGTCTCTTCTCGGCCCCTCTGCTCTCTCGCGTGGCGGTGAAACTGCAGGTGCCGATGGGCCGGGCACCCAGATCATCCAGTCGCTCGGGGAACAAAACTGCCCATGGTGCATTTGGCCGAGATTAAAAAATGGGGCAGGAATTGGCGGAAAAAGTGGGACCTCAGTGAGGACTGTTGTACCAAGTCTAAATGCTGCTGGGGAGCTGTGCCAGCTTTACTGAAGCACCGGAACCCGATGATCCCAAGCGGGCAGCGAGGAACCAACTGCGAAGGGGTGCTGAACGTCACCCACGAACGTCCACCAGCCAGTCCATCCCTGGCCGGCACGCTTGCAGGATTTACAGGAGGGCTCCTGCTCCAGGCAGTCACGTCCCACACCTCTCGGTTCCCTGCCTTCTCCAGGTGGAGCTCACCTGCAGGAGGTTTGTCCGGATGCGTTTGTCGGTGCACTGCTTCGCCACCTCTTTGGCCAGCCGCGTCACTTCATCCGAAGCCTTCGCGATGTCCTTGGCACACTGGATGAGGGCCCGCTTGTTCCCGCTGCCGCCTCTCACCAAGCGCGACATCTCGGCCATGAGAAGCGCCATCCGCTTGGCGGCTGCAATGATGTCATTGCCCTGGAAAAGGAGGTGAGCGGCCGTGAAAGGCGGGGACCGAGACGGCGCTGCAGGCTGCCCCCCACATTCCACAAGCGAGCCCTCGCTCTGGAAAGATGGGGTGGGGGCGCGTTCTGTGCAGTGCCCCTGCTTCTCCGCGAAGAGCGCAGCCCATCTCACACAAAGGCCAGGGGTGAAAGAGTTTCTCTCCCAAAACTCGGTGAAATCAAGCTTCAGCCAACCCCGCCCCACCCCCAAATGGTGAACACAGAAGGTTAGTTTTCCTGCAGAAGTGAAAGTGACTAAGTTCAGACCAGGTAAACTTTCTCAGTTAGAAATTGACTGTTTTAATAAGGATGCAAGGAAGTGTCTTAAAGCAAGTTTAAAGCATCCAGTTATGACGGTGAATATCCTTAATATGCAAACAGACAAGTATATGTGGCAGTGAAATTTTACAGTTTATTTTTTATTGCACGTATTATATTATATTATTTATTTATTTAAAACTTTTTTAGGCCGTCCCTTACTGTGTTCTGGGGACGGTTTCACAATAAGACAAAATAGAATAAAGCACAGCATCTTTATCTTTTTAAAGACTTTTCCAGGTATGGAAAGCGATCTGTTACACAGTCGCCCTGTGGAGGAAGTGACACCCAGGTCTTCCAAAGGAAAAACCAAGAGGGTGTGCAGCATTCAAATCAACTAATCAATCCTTTTGATTAACTACACTCCAAATGTATAGATTAATTGGGCAGCAGCATTTTAAAATGGTTATCTTTGGTAGAAGGTTTCCAAAAGTGAGAGAGGCTGGCCCACCTTCAAAGAGGCCCTCCTCCTTCCATGCCAGAGGAGCGGCTTCTTCCAAGATGCTACGCTGTGGCCATATTCAGAAATTCTTTCTTCTGGGTGAGCTTTTCTTCATAGGCAAACACATTCAAATTTAATGTATTAGTCAGGGAACCCTACCACTATATCAACTAAGTCTTCTTTCCCCAGAAAGAGTTACCGGAAGAACTACTGGAGTACAATCCGACACTGAAATAAACCTTGCTGAGTTCAGTGGGGTTTACTCCCAGGAACGTGTGTTCAGGATGGTAAAGCTTAGAATAAAATTGAACTTCCTTCAGTGGAGAAAAGGAAAGACATCTGACATAGTTTATCCGCAGCAACATGTCGTGGGTTAATTAAGCCTGAAAGCCAGCTGCATCCAGGGTTCATTCGTGCCAGTAACAAGCTGGCTTGTTTCAGGGAAACTATGGCTGAGATTAACCACAGTTCCTCATGTTTGGGTGAAAGGGTAAGTGGCAGTCATCCAAAAATGGGAGCAAACGCTTCCCATCTCCTCCTTGCAGCCACTCTGCAGGGGATGACGGGGAAAGAACAGCAGCCCGAAGTTCACTGTAGCTCAATCCCATCATGACAAGCCCAGGTTTATTATGTACCCAAGCAGCAATTCAAGGGGAATGTCTGATTTTAACACTAACGCTATCAGGCACTGTTTTGAGATGAGGTTCTGTATTTACTGAGGGACGCTGTAAGCTGGCATTATTTGAAATATGATGGCTGTAAGAATTTTCAAATCCAAGCAATCGGTTGTTAGAGTTTTTAATTACGCAGTGAGGCTACGAAGAGTGCGGAGTTAATGTGACAGGTTGACCTGCCCAGCTGAAAGAAGCCAATCCTTGCAGCATGAGGGGCAGACTCCCCACCTTGGCGTTTATGCGACAGAAAAGGCAGCACAAAAACCAGGATGCAAACGTTCCGGAGAGCCGCATTTGGCAGCAGCGGCCCGTCCAAGACTCGTTTTGGAACGGTACACAGAGAGGGCCGTGTGCGCACACAAGCGGGATCGGCACGCACAGGGGCAGCCATGCGTGGACTGACACAGGTATTGTGGTGCCCTGTCCCTTGGTGAGTGTGAGCCAGGCCGGCCAGCAAGGGCTCCCTGCTGGGCAATGATCCAAGGAACCCGCGGAAAGATCAGTCCTTTCGATCCCCGGTGCAGCCTCATGGTCAGGGCAGAGGTGGTCGCGATGGGAGGCCGGCCAGGTGGCCGCACACGTGGGGTGAGGCAGGGAAGGGGAAGGAGAGCAGGAGGGAGCGCTGCTCCCAGAAGCACAATCCAGCAGCAGGTCTCCCTGCACACGCCACCCCTTCGATGAAAGGGGGGCTGGGCTGCACCCCACCCTAAGTGGCCCGTGGGGAGACAGCCTCTGGATCTGCGGCCAGGTGCCGGCCAGTCTTGGCCTGCTGCTGTGTCCATTACTCAGTGGGAAGACACAGGAGGCAGGGAGGAAGGCAGGCGGGCCAGATTTGGGCGGAGGGCCTATACACGCACACCCGCTCCCCGCCCGGCCCACGGCCACAGCACAGCCACACGGCATCCTCGCAGCATGCGTGTCCCCAACGTGAGGAGGTGTCCCAGCATCCTGGAAAAGCCCTGCCAGTGCCCGGTGGCAGCCAGCCCCTTTCCATCTCTGCCGCAGACCACGGAGTGCCATCCACCCCGTGCTGGAGAAGGAGAATGAAGCCCGCGCGCCACGAAGTCTGAACTTAGCGACTCAGGCACCCAGCACGGCCCGACGCCCTTTCCCGCGGCCAGCCCTTTACACACAGCCAAGTGCGAAAGTGCAGCTCCAACTGCTTGGCAAGACTGTCACGGGAAGCCATTCCTCGTCTGGCCAAGGTTACCGCGGCGACACTGATGAAGAGGCATAAAGCACACCGATGCGGGTTAAATGGCGGTGGTGGCGCTGGCGACCGCTCCCTCACCACCCGAACGTTACGGAGAGGGCGTTGGCCGTGGCTTCACAGGTAGGCAGGCGTCTTTGGGGCTGCGTTTTGAAGGCCTTTCCAGTCACCACTGCCCTGAAGGGGCAGGTTAGGCCGAGGACAGCAGAGCGAGAAAGCCTCATTAAGGAGGAGGCTAACACAGGAAGGCGTGCGCCAAACGAAGCCGTACCCTGGCCCAGCAAGACTTGTGAAGCCACTCTCAATCCTCGACAATGAAATGCAGACACACTCCAGTTCATTCCACTCCAAAAGAAAAGAAAACGAAACGAAACAGAATGAGGCCCGGCGAGGGTCGGGAGTGATGCAGACGTGCCAGCGTTCCAAAATGGCTGGATGCAACGCGGGTCAGCCGCCCGGGGAGCCGGGGCGGAGGCAGTACCTTACTGGACCACTTGGTGGCTTCCCGGTGGAGAGACTGGGCAGCGGCCAGCATGGGCTGGTTAACGGGCTGGTTGGCTGGGATGAGCAGCAGCTCAGGCTCGTAATCCTCTTCCATGTCGGAGGGGAGCGCGAACTCAACGTCGGCCTCCGCCCCCTCCTGAGCTGCATCTACGGCAGCCGCAGGGCCTTCCTTAACCTCAGCGGCCACAGCAGGCTTTGCGGCAGGGCAGGGAGGATGGAGAAACAGGGACAGTTAGTAGACGAAGCAGGACCCGGTCAAAGGGCAGGAGCCACGCTGGCTTGGAGCGTTCCCCACCCCGGACGCGAGGGGAGCTGGGGACAGTTCGAGGGGGGTGCTTGGTCTGGGAATTGGCAACATGTTCCAGGAGTTTAGGAAAGATTTGTTTTCCTCTTCCGACCTCTTTGCAAGGTCTAGCGTTTCACCACAACATTCTTTTCTGGCAAGACAATAGCGCCGTGGCACAAAGCCCAAGCAGATGCGACAGGGACAGATGACAGAGGGCCGCGAGATGGAAACGTCAGTGATGCTGATCGAGCACAGAGAGAACTGCCAGAAAAGCCAGCGGCCACCTCTTGCTCCCTTAAGAAAGGGAGAGCACAGAGACCACCCCAGCGCAGGCCCCGGGGAGGTGGCCCACCACTTCCGGGCACGGCGGGGTGCCAGTGAGGGTGCCGGGCAGGGAGAGCCAGCTCTGCATCACGGAGCGGGAGTCCTGGGTGCCCCGGCCCCCGAAGCCTGGCTGAGGAGGAGGAGGGGGCCGCATGGCAGCCCTCGCACGGCCTCGTCCCAGAGAGCACCCGCTCCTTGGAACCAGGCGCATGCCAGGCGGAACGTGCCCACGTCCACCGGCCTGCGACGCAGGGGCAGGACGGGAGGCCGCGTGGGGCTTCCACCCCAGGCACAAACGTGTCTCGGTGCAAGTCATGGAAAAGACAGGACAAGGCAGGGGGCAAGCAGGGCGAAGGAGGAGCAGGAAGGGATGGAAGACGCAGGAGAGGCTGCCCATGGAAAGCCTGAATCGGTGTGTTACTTGTTAGTAGTCAGAATATGATGTCAGCAGCACACAACAAAGTCAGTCAGGAAGTTAGTGAGGTGGAGCCGGATTGTTTTGCCACAATGTTGTTTTACAAAAATCCAAATAAGGATTTCTAATCATTTGCTCTGGAATCCTGGACTGCATCCTGCACGGAGAAATAAAAAACCCTGTAGAAAAAAGCACTGCCTATAAAAGTGGCTGGATCTGCCAAATATGCGGAATGCTCCTTGGGTCATTAAAGTGTCTGCAACCCACCACAATTAGGCGAATAAAAACATTCCACCCAGTGCCGAAATATATTCGAACAAATAGCCAGTCAGTGCTACTTCTTATGCTGTCCAATGAAGAATTCTATGAAACTCTAAAGTCAACACATTTTTCACAGGTCTAACAGAGATGGTTACCTTCTGCCTCATCCTCTGTGTATTATACAGCAGTCAACCAGAATTTTATGTACAATATAATAAAAGTTAAAGTAAGACTGGGGAGAGAATAGAAATGAAGCAAGGCAATTCATTCTCCATTGAAGACATCAGAAAGAAAAGGAAAATTAAACTTGCAGAACATTAAGAAGAAACATTGGCTAATTTGCAGTTTTCAGTTTTCCATCAAATTCCTAACTCACTTTAAAACCTGGAAGGTGCCTGTAATATCAATGATAACACCTACAAAATTAGATTTTAAATGCTATCGTTTTCCAGAGATGCGTCATTTTTTCACAGGTATGCCACTGAAGTTCACCAGCAAATATCTCGGGTATTGTTTTGCTTAGAACATTCATGTAAGATTCTGTTCCAGCTTTCAGAAACTAACTCGTCACAATCAGCTTGCTCATCTTGTTAAACATGAGCCAGCAGCGTGACACAACAGATAAGAAGGCAAACGCCACCCTTGGATGCATAGCCAGAAGCATGGCTTCCGGTTCTGGGCTCCACATTATAGGAGAGACATGGCCAGGTTAGATTCGGCCCAGCACAGCACCACAAGGCTGGTGGCCAGTTTGCAGGGGATGCCGTATGAGGAGAGATTGAGGGAACTGGGTCTTCTCAGCCTGGAGAAGAGGAGACCCCGAGGGGATCTTTTAGCGACTTGTAGGTATGTAAGGGGATGTCATGTGGAGGAGGGCCATGACCAGTTCTTCCCTTTGTTCCAATGGGGCAAAGCTTCAGGTTGGATGCCAGGAAGCACTTCCTGATGGTTGGGACCGCGAGGGTATGGGATGGGCTTCAACGGGAGGTGGTGGAGACCCCATCGGTGAGGGTGTTCAAGGACAGATTTCCAACTGCATGTCGGGAATTACATGCGCAGAGCCAGCTGGATCTGGGGGTCAGACTAGATGGCTTGGGACACCCCTTCCGACTCACTTTGTTTCTGTTTCTAAGAAGATACTTTGCTCAGCTTCTCTTCACAAAAGATATATTATCAGGAAGGGCTGGCAACAGCTGCACAACGACCTTGAATGAGGGGGTTGCCATGGTGGGACTCGAGGCCTCTGCTGAACCCTCCTCCGGAGATCCGTGCGAGCATTCCAGGCAGCCACGGCACGGAGATCCTGGGGGGCTCCCCTTCCTGTGCCAGTCCACGAAAGGTGGGTCTTCCAGCGCCTTTGCAATGGGACACGGGGAGGCACCGGGCGAACTGCAGCAGCCAGCAGGAAGGCCACCCGGTCCAGGACCCGGCCTCCGGAGCACAGGGTCCGGAGTGCCGATTCTAGCCGTGTGGCGGGTTTCCATGGCTCACGCTGCATTCTGTGGCTGGCCTGCACCTTCCTGCCGGCCGCTCAGTTTCACGATGGCGCTGGCAGCAGAATAACCTGGGGGTGCCCAGGTGGGGGCCAAGGGCCATCCGCAGCCCCCGGGCCACAAGCTGCCCTCTTCAGCGCCACAAGCAACACAGGCAGGGAACACGGAAGGGGCTCCATCACCTCAAGTGGCAAACTCAGCACTGGAGCCCAGAAATGCAGTCAGTTCCAGTTTGCTGCTTTTCTGACTGAAGCACTGTAAAAAAGGCCCTCGGAAAAGAGGTCCGAAGTTGCGCATTTGACTTGGGTACAGATTCATTTTCTTCCACAAAAGCTGGATTAGGATTCCAGCTTGCTTCTACTTTAAATCAAACACTTTGCTTAAGACCAGACCTTGTGTGTGTCAATGGAAAAAGAATTTTTTGGCCCCAAATGGCCCCCAAGCAAGGAAGGCGCAGCCTGGCCTGAAGCGCATGGAAAGGCTGTGACGCAGGGCTCAGCACCCTTGTTCAGGCCATAAAACCCCCCATCTCCCTCCTCATCCACATCCCCTTCCCTCCAGTCCCCCTTCCCTTGGCTGTTCTGTCACTTCTGTTTGTCCACCTGGTGGAAGGGCCTGCCCCTCTTTTCTACTGAAGTGACCCTCTTTGGAGCCAATAATGGTCTGAAAAGCAGGACAGAACTACATTCAGTATTAACGTCATCACCAAAAGCAATGAATACTCTATTATAAAAGGTTTCAATAAAATGATTCACTAAGAAGACAGCATCTCAGTACCATTCACTATACCACCCATAATATGAAAACACACTGAGGACTGCAAAATAAGGAGAAAACCATGCCACACACCCCAGCCATTCCGTAGGCACTGAGATCAGAAAGCAGGGTTTGCAACACCCGCGCTGGCTCGCAGCTTCGTCGCACTTCTTGGCTCAGTTAACTGAAACCTTGGCTCTATCGTTAAATTGTCCCCCACTAGAGATCCTGTGTCTTAACCCTTCTCATTCCAGCAAATAACCCAGAAATGAGAGCCAGTGTGGTGCAGTGGGTAAGAGCGTGGGACTGGGACTCAGGCGACCCGGGTTCGAGCCCCCACTCAGCCATGGAGCCCACTGGGTGACTCTGGGCCAGTCGCAGGCTCTCCGCCCAAGCTGCCTCTCAGGGATGCTCTTGCGTGGAGGAGAACGGTGTGAGCCACTTGGCGTTCTTAAAAAAAGCTGGGAAATAAATCTAATAAACAAACTAATGCTACCTTTTAAAAAGAACTTCTGTCATTTCACTGTCTTCCTTCCTTTATTCTTACTCTGCCAGTCAATTTTGTCACATCGGCCACATTCCGGATTTTTACCATGCATTAATGCACTGGCAAGGAATTGGTCTTGCCCCACCCGCAGCTTCCAGCCTCATGGGCAGGTTCTCAGTGCCTGAATGAAGAGTTCAGTGTCTTTTGGTGACAATGTGCGTTTAAGAAAACAGGGCGACTGTTGGATCAAAATGTACGTCTCCTCTGCTGTTCATTTATTTCATTTACAACAGATGCCCCGACGTTCTTAACTTTGGGATATGATCTGTATATAAGGTATATGGTCTCCCTGAATGATCTCTGTCTCGCGTAGTGTTCAAAATGACTTCATTCAAACCTACCAAAGCCATAAAATTGCTTTTGAAAGGACAAGGACTGGGTTCGGACAAGGTGTAAGGCTGTCTTTTGATAAAGCAGCAACGGATAAACCCAAGAGTAATGATTCGCAGGAGTGATTCATTTGCTCCCCGCACTGGCCAAGCTTCGGAGAATGGGAGGCGCACGCACGTCAGCTTCCACTGTAAAGGTACTTTAGCATGGCTACCGGCTGCTACACACCCAGACGAAATGTAAGACCAAATACATTTGGTTTCTCTCTCCATTGCTAATAAATGCATGTATCAAAGGTGCAGTCCTACAACTGAGAAAGCACAGCCACACAATCTGATTTCCCTTCTTTGCAAGCAGGCAAAACAACACAGCACGAGAAAAGATGAGCCGCTGCTGTGGATGGAAAACGGTGAACTTTTCGGGTCACGTATCCCTGCATTAAGACAAAATGGGACTGCGCTCACTTCGGCTTCCGAAGCACTGCTCCTGCCATCCACCGTGGGCTGCAGCAGCGGCTGCCTGGATTTCTCCATGGTTAGATCAGTCACAAAGCTCACGAAATGGCCATTTCCACAGGTGGCAAGAAGGGTGAACCACGATGCCTGCCCACTCGCACCTTGCACTTCTCAGAAAACACTTCCCGGACTGCAGGAGAGGAGCGGCAGTTAATTCCTGGCACCCGGGCTGCCTGGGGAGGCCTTACCTTGCTGGACCACTTCCGGGCCTCGTCGTGCAGCTGCCGGGCGGCCATCATCATGGGCTGGTTGAGCACCTCCCCGGCCTTCTGCTCCGGGAACTCCTCGTCCTTCTCCTCGGGGGGAGGGGGCCTCGGCGGGGGGACCTCACCTTCAGGCAGAGGCGGCTTCGGAGGAGCGAGTTCATCGGTGAGCTGGGGAAGAAGGGCAGCCGGTTCCGTCACACCATCCCAAAGGCAACGCTGCCATGCCCGCAACAAGCTGCCTGCGTCGGCCATTTCCAGTGTCCCGGGCCCATTTTCCAAACTCAAACCGATCACTTCTACGTTCGGCAGAACAGTGACGTCTAAAACACCTCAGCGTTCAGCTCCATTGCATCACCTTTTACAAACTGCACCAGGAAGTCTAGAAAGGGGGGGACGAACCTAGTGACGGGCAGCCCCGCCGTCTGTGTTATCTTATCATGTTGCAGATGCAGCTCTGGATCCAAAAGCCCACAGGCACTATTATTTGAATTTTCAGAACCATGAACCTACTCCCCATTGATTCAATTAGTCGGGCATTGTTCACAGGCACATTCACAACAAAGGTGTGTGCACAAAAGGGACGCATCTTATGGCGGGGCTGAGCGGCACACAATTCAAGTGGTTTTTAAAACGGCTTTCTCAGCCAAACACATGGGAGCAAGAGCCTGAGCTTTCCCCAGCGTCCTTGTGCCCGCCACTGGGGTAGAAATCCGTACATAAAGGCCAGCTCCTGGCCCCAGGGACCCCCCTCTGAACTCCGACTCAGCACCGCGCCGAAGGAATGCAAGCAGCACACGAAACCCCCTTGCAACCGCAGCAAGAAAGCAGGACTGTGCCTGAGATCTAACCTCGGTTTGAAGCAAGTTGACCCATGTAGGGGAGAGCTGAAATTCTCCCCAGACAAGCGGCTGTGGGGCAGCGGCCGTCCGGCCCAACAGCTGCCACAGCGCTGCACTTACGTGGAGATGCTCGAGGTCGGGGGGAGGTGGCGGGAAGTCTGGCTCCTGGGGCTGGAAGGCTTCTCGGACCTTGGCCACAGCCCCCAGAATCTTGTAACCAGAGTCCAGGAAGTTCTTCTGTAAACCTGGAAAATTCCAGGGCAGAGAGCATTCAGGTCGAAGCATTAAAGATTCAAAAGTTTTCCCGCAGGGGCTAAGTCATTTTTAAAGGGCCCCCAAATGAAGGCATTGACCAACAGAAATCATTGTGGGGATGCAGAGGGGCCAGGTTAGAACTCGGCAGGGCAAAGACCACACCCAAGTTGTTTGCTGCGTTTCTGTTCTGCCCCACAGCCGAAGCTCTCTGGGCAGTTTGTGATACATCTACGTTTCCGCCTTCCAGCAGTGATATTACAGGACATGGTTCCATCTAAGACGTGGGGCCGCCTGGATCGGTCCAGCTCTGTGCTCCTCCGCCCTGCTAGCCTAGCCAATGAGTCGCGCATCTGAGATGGCCTCTTTGCCCCATGCTTACCGGGGTCGGAAATATTGCCTGCCACCGCTTTGGCGTCCATCACCATGGGCGAGATGGTCTTGCTGAGGTCGTCGGAGGCAGCCTTCACGGCCTCTCGGAATTTGGGGTCCTCCGAGTTCTCGACCTCCTTCTTCGCCACCAGCAGAATCCGGTTGGCTCGCCGGGCGATGCTGGTGGCCCCCGCGACCAGCATCTGCGGCTGGATGTTGGCCATGGCCACCTTGCACTTGTCCAGGTCCTTCTTGATGGCTTCCTCCGAGGCGTCCAGCAGGGACTTGGTGTCGATGGCTTCATCCACCAGGCCTGGGGCAAGAGGCAGCGACCTTTACTTCCCCGTCGACACATGTCGCCAGGAGCCAGTGCTCCGGGGAGCCCGCCCTCGCGTCCCCGGAGAATCTCCACCCGCCTCCTGCACCGCTGGGCTTTGGCCACTAGAGGGCCTCCACTCACAACACAATGGTGCCACACACACAGATGGCATCTACATACGGAAGGGGGTTCAAGTATGAAAACATTTCCATACACCAGAAAGCGGGAAACCAGAATTCTGCCAAGCTAGATTTACACAAAAGGCGTCAGGGGATTTCAGTGCCACCGGTGCGTGTGAAAGGGAATGCCACGGGCCTTCTGGTAGAAACATTGGTGCAAAACCAAGTGCATGCACAATTTTGCCACGGCTGAAACAAGCAGCCGCTACAGGGGTGAGCTCTCTGGGTTGCAACGACTGAGCCAGGAGTGATTCAGGACAAAAGCACAGAGCAAGCCTCCCTTGAGCCCACCATGACTTCTGGGGGGCTGCCCAGCCCCCCAGGTCCTGCCCTCTCCCCTTCTTGGTGGGCCTCCCTACCTCCTCCTCCTCGTTCCCCCCTCCTCTTCCTCCCCCGTCCTCAGCTGGCCTAGCTAGGCGGGCGTCTGTCTCCAGCAGAGCGCGAACACCTGCAGGCTGGGGCGCCCGGCTCAAGCACCGTGGGGCCACGTCTTCCCCTGCTTGCTCCCTGCCCTTTGCTCTGCCACGGAGGAGCTGCCGTGGAAGCCCAGGGCATGCCCGGGATGCCACACCCCCCCAACCCTGCTGGGCCACCTCTGCTCAAGCGCCTGTCCCGCTGTGGGACCCCGAAGAGCTGGAAGCAGCACGCACCCACTGCGGCCAAGGCGTGGCTGCTGTTCTGGCCCCGGGGGTCAGGGCAGCCTGCACGGAGAAGTGGCCTGTTGCTCCGGGTCGAGGTGGACACTTCCACCAACCGCGGCTGTCTCCAGCGGAGGAAGCGGCCACGATAGGTTTGGGCTCCGCGGCTGTCAAAGCCAGGGCGGCGGGCAAGGGACACTGTACCCCGCCGTTGGCAGGATCAGGAGGGAGGGGCCGTTGAAGGCGCCCGCTCCATGTCAAACTGGCGAGGAAGCAGGCTCACCCAGCAGGTCCTCTCATTTGTGGTTTGCGGCTTCTGCCGTGGCCACGTGTCCTGAGGCGCCAAAGCCCTCTCCTTGCCGGGACCCTTCCTCGCCCCAGCTCCAAGGCACCAAGCGAGCGACGTGGCCTCTGGGAGGCGGGAGCTGCGTGTCTCGGGCGCAGGGCCTGCCCTTGCTGCTCCTCTCTGGCCGTCCGCGTGCTGCAGCAACGCCAGCCGCCTCCCGCTTTCTCCCAAAGGCTGCTTCTGCGCGTCTCCTCGCCCTTCCCTTCCCTCCTCTGCTCTTTCTCACTCTCGCCTCCTCTGCCCACCTCCCCGCCACCTCCGTCTTGCCCCTGCCTTTGTTCTCCCTTCCCTGACACAGCTGCCCCTGCCCTGGCCACCAATCCCGTGCAGCTGCGCATGCCCCCACACATCCCCGTGAACGGGGTCCCTTGCCTCGTTCCTCCCCAGCGGACTCCCGGCCAGGCCCCACCGTCTCCGGTGGCTGCCATGGGAAGGCGAGTGAGCCCTCCGCCTCCTGACACCCAAATATTATGGCACAGGGGACGGCTTGGCTGCGTTTGGCTCAAAAGCCACCGTGCCCTCCTGAGCCTCGATTCCCCATCTGTACGACAGGAAATCCGTCGCGATTCAGCTGCAGGTGCCTGGCGGCGGCTGCGCAGAAGGGGTGCGTGTGGGTCCCTGGGTGCCAGGCGAGGCCCACCCTCTGCAGGGCCCTGTGCAGAGCAGGGAGGGTCCGCACCCTCCCCACAAGCGAAATGCTATGCAGCACACCTCCCGTGCTGCTGCTCTGCATCACCGCTCTGCTGATGGCCCCCCACGTACGCCGTCCTATGAATTCGCCTTCCGAGCGCCCCACGCTCGCCTCCCTTGCAGCTCAGGTGGGTCCCCAGCCTTTCCCTCCCGTTTGATCTGCTTAACGGGATGGCACCAAGATGTTCGTCTTCCTTCTGGATCCCCCTCCAGAACCTCTCCGGACAGGCACCAATCGGATCGCTGTCTTACCTGTCATCTTCTCCACGTTATCAATCCACTGGTTCTTCATGGTCTCAAAGTGCTCGTAGGCAGCCTGGTTTCCGGGATTTCTTAGGAGGATGCGAGCCGCCGACACCACCTGCCAGTATCAGGACACCCCCTAAAGCAACACCGCAGCTGCTCGGAAGTAAACACACACCTTGCCCGCCTTTCCCAGCCTTGCTAAACTGAAAGTTAAGCCTCTCACTTGACGTGAGCGCAGGGCGACAGATTTTCTCAGGAAAATCCTAGGGCAAAGGGGCTTTATAGCACCCAAGAACACCTGAGAGTTTCCAGGGTCTCTGAAGCACACCTGTGCAGGCGATGGGCAGGAACTTGTGAGGGTCACCTGATGGAGGACTGTGCCCTGGCTCTCACCTGGGCCACTTGGCTCCATCCTGCAACTGATCTTCCAAGGACTACTGAAGTGCTCTCAAAGCAGTGAAGAACCAGCACGATTCCAGCACTGTTAGCAGCTGCTCTTGTTGAGGCCGTGGTGGGGGGCGGGGGATGCCGTTCCTCCCCCGCCGGCCCCCACACCTGGGTCTGGCTCGGCTTGAGGTCCCTTCCTCCAGCAGCATTTCCTACTGCAGCAGAACTGCTAGAATGATGGCTAGGCCCTGTCCAAGACATCTACTCAAGCACCTGGATTTCCATGGGATTTACTACTAAGCTTGACTCCCTGAGGTCGACCCATGGCTCCCTGCGTAAGACGCAGCCCTCGCTCCCAGCAGAGCCACTGGGGACATCCCAGCACGGGGGCGTCAGCACACGACGTCAGGGTGGGCTCGTTTTCTCCGCCTCCGGCTCGCGGACCCTCCAACACGGACAGTACCATCCAGTACCATTCTGCCCTGAGCTACCCAGTCCAGACCAGTTTCCCCCACTGCTTTGGCCGAGCTGCAAGCTATGATGTACTGATGTGCACTTCACAACATCCAGAACATGATGGCGTGTTTCACCTGCGACCCTCAGATGGGGCTGACATGCCTTTGCCGTGATCTGCAGCTGACTTTGGGCCACTGGAAAGGAAAACGCCGCTGGAAGGAGTCACCAGGAGAGTTTGAGACTCTACCAAGCCCATGTCAGGCTAAGAGGCTTTCCAAACGAATCGCCTTGGGATGGAAAGGCCCTGTGACTCTGAAAATGTGATTTGGGTGGACTGTTGATGCATTCCTGCCACAAATAGCATTTAGCCACTCCTCTTCATTCTTCAAAATGAGTAGAAATTAAACATGCATTTACCTATACCGGCATCTTCCAATCTGGTGCCCTAAAAACTTGTTTGATGGCAATTCCCATCATCCCCTGGCCAGCATGACTTTAGCTCTTGTCAACAGAATGGTCAACTATGCAGACCACTGCCTTGATCCGGAAAGAGCTCCGCACACCCAGCTGAGGGTTGCAGGTGGAAGGTGGCTTGGCCTGAGCTCACCTGTAAGGCACCTGGGGTGCTTCGAAGCACCCGGCGGGGGTGGGGAGGGAGAGGGGGAAGGTGCACCCCACCTGCGGTGTGAGTTCTCGCGCAGACTTCACCGTTGCCTGTATGCCTTCCACGGTGCTTTTGTTGGCCGTTCCGACTGCAGCCGCCTTGTCAGCCGTCGCGCCGAGCCGGGCGGCATGGCTCTCGAAGCCGGCTGCCCTTTCGTCGAACACCTGTGGGGGGAAATGCAGCACCGGCACCAATAAATGCAGCAACCCCAACACAGACTGTGCAGGATCCCCGGCTGAGCCGTGAGCCCTTCCGCAATTCACACAAATGCTTCCAACCACAAATAGGCACTTCAGTTACATTCTGATTTCACTGCACATCCGAATGGCTGGAGAGAACCTCCTTTATTCAAGAGCTGCAAAATTCTGCATGCAAATGTGCATACCGTCATTGTTTTACTAGCTTATCGATGGCAAGAATACAAATCGTGCAGACAAAATGAGAAAGCTGCCCATAAGCAGTTTCTTCAAAGTATAAAAAGAGCGCTAAGACGCTAAGGCATGGCAGAGTTCTTCAGAACTCTGGCTCCTGGTGCACCGCCCCGTAGCCTGTGCCAGGGTCGGCTCTGCTCCCTGGCATGGAAGGCAAAGCCCAGGAGCAGGGGCCACGCGGGGGCTTGGCCGCGGCGGTGGTGCTCTCACCTCGTCCCTGTTGGGCGCATCCGGGGGCGCCGTGGCCGCCACCGCCAGCAGCTTGATGGGGGTGGTGGTGTCACTGAACACATCAGAAACCTCCTGAGTCATGGCTTCCTGCATCCGGGACTTAAGATCCTAAAAACATGTGTGGAAAAAAGGGCTCCATCAATTAATTTGCTGTGCCAGCGTGGGGTGCAGAAGCGGACTATCCCAGCAGCTCTCTGCTCAGCCACGAAGCTGGAGTTGCAAAACAGTAAGAGGTTGTTTTAAAGAAAGCGAGCGAAGGAATCTGAACAGCCACCATGGCATGGGGGGCTGCTAGCAGCATCGGCTGCCCCACCCTCTGCAGATCGGGGCAGGGAACTGAGAAGTGCCGAGATGGGGGCCCTCGGACACCACTGTGCCCCTCCACAATTCACCTATTGCTCCACCTAGCAGGATTTAGCTAGTATCTCTAATCCACAAGGTGAAGCAGGAGCAGAGGGCGGTTTTGAGGAGAGGAGAGGAGAGAGGAGATGCTGGGCAGTTTCCTCATGGTGGCAGACTAGCCAGCTGTGTGTAAACCTCCCCAGGGATACCCAGTGCCTCCGGGACTTCAGTTTGCTGAGAACTGAGCCTTGCCGTTTCCCTAGACTTGGGGAAAATGAGCAAGCACCTGGCCAGGATGGTGGAGGCAGTGAGAGGAATGAGAACGGAGTCCACACGGCGGCAAAGGAGGGCTCCTTCCACCGGCTCAGCCAGTGATGCACGCGGCAGGGGGGGCTGCCCTCGCCATACCTTTAAGGAGTCCTGCAGCTGCGCGGCGACGGCCCGCGCCTGTGGAGACTCCCCTTCGCCCCTGGCTGCCAGATCCGCCAGCTGGGCGGCGAGCTGTTCCACACGATCACATTTGGCCAGCAGGTCCTGGCGGTACGGTCCCATCATCACGTTGGCAAGACGGCGCCCTTCGGCCACGAGCCCCCGGATCGCAGCCTGGCCTGCATCAAGAGCAATCGCCTTGCTTTATTTATGGAAGAAGGAAAAGCGGAGCAGGAATTCCACCACCCGAGAGGCCAAAGAGAAATTTTGATGGCTTTTCCTGTCCAAAAAATTACAAGCAAGTATTTCGATAGGGGACGTTTGAGGAAGAGAAAAGTGCCTTGTCCAGAACCAACTGGAGAGTCTTTGCAGATGTGAGTTTTGCAGCATGAATACCTGGCTGCGGAGCCCTTTTTAGGCTCGGTCTCCCAGGGAGCGAGTCAGCCAGTTCAAGTTCGTGCTGCATCCAAGGCTCCATTTCATCTGAACAGTAGATACTGATCACTTTGTAGCCCAGCTGCTCCGTAGTGTCTCCCATGTTTGAGACAGAACAAGTGCCTGAAACTTCGGAAACCTCCTCTCCCCGGCCAGCTCAAGCCCCTTGCTCCACACACTTCCCCACAGGACTGGCAAAGAGGAGGAAATTGGGAGGGACATTGGGGGATCTGAGGGCAGGCCGCTGGAAGGAAGGCCCCAGAGCTACTGTGATTGGATGCCAACGGTGGGGAGCGCTTGCCCAAGGCCACACAGATCTGGGCACCAAGACTGAAGGAAGGGGCAGGTAAATTGGAAGGGGCCCAGCAGAGGGCAACAGAAATGATCTGGGGTTGGGAACACTGCCCAAGTGGAGAGACTGAGGGAACTGGGCCTGTTCAGCCTGGAGAAGAGAAGGCTGAGGGGAGACATGACACCCCTCTCGAAGTCCCTCAAAGACTGTCCCAAAGAGGAAGGTCAGGATCTCTTCTCGCTGATGCCAGCGTGTAGGGCATGGAACAATCAGCTCAAGCTGCAACAACCCAGATTCAGGCTGGGCATCAGGAGAAGCTTCCTCGCAGTCAGAGCAATACGACAGTGGGACCAGCTGCCTAGGGTGCTCCTGGGCTCTCCCACACCAGAGACATTCAGAAAGAAACTGGGCAGCCCTCTGAGCGGGATGGTGCAACTTGCTGTCCTGCAACAGCTGGGGGGTGGGCTTGATGGCCTTCATGGCCCCTTCCAACTCTTCCATTCTAGGATTCTATGAATGCAGAGGTTGGCAAAGAGATGCTGAAGGCCTTACCTACTCCACGGTCATCCACGGTTGGGTTGTCGATCCACCTCTGAGCTTGCTCGATCTTCCCCTCCAGGTGGACTGCTGCCTTGACGGGCCTGCTGTTGGCCACAGCCCTGTTGGTTTTGGACTGCAGATTCTGAAGCGATGTCGCTATTTGCTTGGCCAGTGCACGGGCTTCCGGAGAATCCCCTTTCCCGCTGCAGGGAGGAGGAAAGCCTCTAAGACACTCTTCTGAAGCCAGTTCAGAAACCAGGTTGGTTTCAAGTCACAGTGAACACCCAATAACCAGCAGGTTGCAACTGCAAAGCAGGGCTGCCCAGTCCCAAGCAACAGGATTCTAATAATGGAAGATGCACGCTTGCATTTCGGCACTGAAGGCAGCTATGGTAAGGAATGGAAGCAAAGTGGGCAGAAAAATACTCAGCGAAGGATTCCATGAGCAAAGTATTCCAGCTAAGGATTTCTCCCCGTATAACTGAAGGCCCTTCGAGAGCCATCTGGCAGAATTAAAGCTCTAGAGCCCCTGCTGACATTAGTCGCTGATTATCAAGGGTTCCTGCCAGGGTTCCCTCCCAAACTACAATTCCAGTGTTTACCTGGGAAAAGAAAAGCCAGCGCAACCTGTATGTGTTTACTCAGAACTAAGCTGCACTGAGCTCAAAGGGGCTTACTCCCAGAAAGTGGGCATCGGATTGCAACCTAAGTCTCTCTATTTTCTCAAAGGGTTTTCTATGCCATCTTTCAGCCCTTCCACTCTTCTCCCCGAGACCGTGGCGATCCTTACTGTTTCCGGAGATCCGACAGTTTTGCCGTCAGAGCAGATATTTCTCCCAGGGACCGCAAAATGTCGTCTCGCTCTTTAGGCTCGTCGCAGAGTTCTGCGATTTTCCGCGCTTCCGCCATAATGCCCCGAATGTGCTCTTCTCCTTCAGCGCCCCCGTTGGGATCCGCCAGCCAGCTCTTCATATACCGAAAGACACAGCAATACATAATTTATGGAACGGCTCCCAGTACGAGCATCAGTAAAGCAGTCAGATGTGTTGCGCTTTAAAACGTTCTTATTTCTCCTCAGACTTGGGCCAACCCACTTCTGTTTGGCCCAGCGAAGGCCTGTCGAAGGGCTCATTTGACACAAGCAAGGGTTGCTCTTTCTCGCAAGTAATTTTAGACTACCTTTTTAGAATGCAAGGAACAATAAATAAGATGCAGAGACAGTGTAAGACGGAATATTTTTCTTGCAAGATGCACCGCACACTTGACCATCACACTGATAGTGGGGGAGACTGTGGCTTTGCCCGCACACACAGAACCCTCCCTCTCTTCCATCTTCGACAGAAGATAAACAAACTCTGAGCATGAGCAGAGCCCTGATGGACTGGAGTGAGGGCCCAGTGTTCTGTTCCCGCGTTCGACAACCCACGGTGTGCAGAAGAAGAGCAGTCCTCGTGGCCCCAACAACTCTTCCTCCAGGCACGGGCATTTTGACCCTGCCGTCGGCGCCTCCTTTCCTAATAATTCCAGAAGTGCGAGTTGCCCTTTTCACTCACCCTCAACAGAGCGCCACTCACTGCTACCTCAGCCTCCATTAGCCTGTCCGTGACGCCGGGAGGTTTGCCCCGCGGCCATCACAGTGCATTGGCTTATGCTGAACACTGCTGCCGTTTTAATACCTGTTTTCCCAGCTTGAGGAGGTTCTTCTGACGCTCTCGGCAGCCCCTCGCTTTATCCTCCCTCTTACCTCAATAGCTCCACACCATCAGCAAACCTGCCTGTTTCATGGCTTTCTCCTAACTCCAGAGCATGTATGGAAAAGCTGAGAAGCACCAGTCCCAATTCGGGTTCCTGGCCACTCCAGCGTCTACCTCCTGCTGCACGGGGAGAATGGGCCAGTCATGCCGGCCTGATGCCTTCTCTTCTTCAAATGCTTGTCAAGCCACGAGAGGACTCCTTCCTTATCATCCCGTAACTTGAGCACTGGCTCAAAAGTCACTGGACAGAAGACTCTTTAAAGTCCACAGAAACTGCACCACCCCCGTCCCCGTGCCTGGTGACACCTTCAACGAACTCCAAAAGGCGGCTGTGGGCACTCTCACAAAATGGCTGCCTGAGTGGGCGCGGCTGATCGTAAAGCACACCCCAAAGACAAAGTGGCTCAGCAGAACAGAGAGGGGCCCTCGTTTCCCCCTCCTCCTAAGAGCACGGCTTGTACCTGAGCAGCGTCGATTTTCTTCGCAATCGCCTGCTTCGAGTTGGTCATGGCGTCCAGCTTGCGGGCGGCGTTTTCCACCTTTGCCGTCAGCAGATCCAAGCCTTGGGACACTTGCTGAGCCTTCTGCATGGCCAGTGGCGTTGCGCCCTGCCCTCTGTGCGAAACGGGAACGGGAACACGGGAACCTTGCCATGCCCTTGCCATGTCCCCTGATCCAGGGAAGAGGAGGCACTCCAGGCGAGACAGGGCGCACTGCGCTCCCCCTCCAGATCCCGGGGGCCTCGATCCCTGGGCTTCAGTCCCACCTGAGCCGCATTTCCCACTGCAGTCCCTGTGCCGGGGAGAATCCAGCAAGGGAAACGCCTGCATTCTCGTTGCTTTCCCTAGAGAACTCAGCCACAAGGAGATCAGCACATGGGATTGTGTCTGGAGTGGACAAGATGCTCAGTGAGCGATTGTGTTCCTTTGCGACTTGTGTTTCCTTGCAGGAATATTGGGTGTTGCCAGGCAATGCACTACCGATGAACAAAGCGCTCGGGGGCGGGGGGGCACCCACATACCGTTAGCAAAGCTCGGGCTCGAAGAGTGCCATGTCAAGCCAACTGCAGGGCCCGACTGCAGGCAGGAGCCGAAGACTCTGTGGGCTCTTCTCCAACCCACCAGACTGGAGAGGGCACACGTCTCCGAAGCCGTACAGGTGGACAGGCAGGCCTCCACGCAGCCGCCAGCCGCTCCCCTACGGCAAATCCCCCAGACCCTCCTAGCACAACACGCCAGAACTCCCGTGCTGGACTCCAGAGCAGAGAGGCTGGCGATGCTAAAAGCACGAGGAGAGCGGCCCTGGAGCAGTCACAGGACTGCTTAGGCCAGTGTCCTGCTCACCTGCGGGCGGTTCCCATGAGCAGGACATGAGTGCGAGGACGCTTCTTCCATGTTCCCCAGCCACTGGCTTGCGCAGGCACACCGTCTGATCCTAGCAGTAGCCCAGAGCCAGTCAGGCCTAGTAGCCACGGACGGTCTCTCCTCCACAGGCTTATCAGCCCTCCTCCAAAGCCCTCCAAACTGATGGCCATCACCACTGAAGGCTGCGTGAAGACGCGCTTCCTTCCATCTGCCCTACACCCCACCCCTCGGCTTCGGGGGAGGACCCTGGGCTCTGGTATTGTGGGAGAAGGCGAAAAGGGTTCCCTCTCCGTTCTCTCCACACCATGGAGAACGTTGTACACTTCTATCAAGCGCCTCCGTGTTCCTCAAGTAAGCCATTCCAGATGTTGCCGTCTGTCTCAGGTTGGAGATATTCCAGCCCCCGTGCCTATTTCTGCTCTTTTCGTAGCTCAACAGTATCCTTTTTGGGTGAGGTGATCAAAACTCTACATGATATTCCAAGTGCCGCCTGTCAAACCAAAGCCGGCTTTGACACACGCATCAAATGTGAGCTGTCTCCTTGCAGCTGGATTCTTCAAAGAAAGCAAGGGCAGGCAGACACTTTCCGCCAGCTGCAAAGCAACACAACTCTGCTTTGCCTTCTCACGGTAACACCAGTCCTTCCTGTTCTCTCCGGAGTTCTCTGGCACGTGTAGAGAACTCAGGGGAAGGAAAGATTCAATGGCACCTTTAAATCAGAGGTGGAGAACAAGCCAAGTTCATGAAACCCTGAATGTAATAGATATCAGAACTTTTGCAATCCAAGAAACAAAGGCCTTTAAATGAGTGTCAGGGTCAGAGTTTAAATGGGGCACATGCATAATCAAGCTACTTCTCCCCTCCCCCGTACCAGTCTTTTAAAGTGGGTGCAAAGTGTATAAGCTCCCCCCACTTCTTTTTTTTTTTAATAAAAGGGTTAACCAGATGGAGTCTTTCCATGCTGAGAAACAGATGCTGGTGCAGACATCCAGGGAGCTGCACCTTTAGGGCTTCCCAGTGTCCTGCCGGGGGCCCCTGCATATGCGTACAGCCAGTCTAAATGTGGGTGTTGGGGATCACACTAATCAAACATGAATAGGAAGTTTAACCATGGAAGTTCCCCATGAAGATTTGGAAAGTAACTGGCACAGAGTCCCAGTGCCAACCAACAAAAATTCTATCCACCACTGCTAGCATATTGGTAAAATAATGCATGTGATTCCCCATTTGTTTTGCTTTCAGGAAAAGGCCCTGTCTTGGAAAGGCAGGACTGGGATTTGACAAACATCCGGTTAAAAGCGCTCAGTAGCAAGAAGTGTTTACCTAGCGCGAAGGTCAGCTACTTGGTCAGTCAACTGGCCTAGCATTTTACAGGTGCCCAGGATCTCTCTGCGCTCCTTGCCGGCACACAGCTCTCCCACCTTTCCGGCTTCGTCCAGGATCTGCCTTATGGCTTGTTCGCCGGAGTCTCCTAGGGGGCAAGAGCGTGCGGACACAGACAATGTGGCTCGTACATTATTTATTCCCAGGAAATGGCTCATCCTATCAAAAGCAAGGCAGCATTCAGGGCAAGAAGAAAAGAAAGGCCATTTGCTGAATGGGTGTCTCAAGAAATATAATCCGCCATAACAGAATAGCTTTCCTGCAGCACAATAATGTTTTTCTAGAAATAGCATATTATTCCATGATGCACATCACTGGAGGCCAATTCATCCCAGTACGAAAGTGGAAAACTATGAATTTTAAACCTGTTCTTCCTTTCGCAGAATTTTATACAATGAAAGGCACTGAAGAAAGAGCTCTCCCCATGAAATCCTGCTCTTTGCTACAGACGGAATGCAGCTTTTACTTCTGCATTGTCCTAGCTGGAGGGCATTCCACACTCTCCTCCAAAGAGCAGGAAAACTGTCATTTGCTTTAGCCATGAACTCAGGCTGTGAGTGCCAGCAGAAGTGCAGCCAAAACCACGCAGGTGAAAAGAAAGAGTTAAAGCATGGGTCCTCAGACTACGGCCCGGGGGCCGGATCCGGCCCGCCATGCCCATTTGGACCCATCACACACGTGCCCGCCGCCGCCCGCCTCGCCCCGCGCATGGGGAGGCGCCTGATTGCTTGCTCGGAGAAAACGATCTCCAAGCAAGCAAGCAAGCAAGCCACTGCCTCGTGCGCCCACCTCGTGGCGTGTGCCTGCCCGCGCCTGTACCTCGCCTCCCCTCGCTGGGCGCATGCACCCGCCCACGCCTCGCCTCGCCACGCACTCCGCCCCCGCCCTGGCCCAAACACACCACCAGCACCACCCTTCCGGCCCACGCCCAGCACTGGCAGCTTTCAACTGGCCCCTGGCAGAAAAGTTTGAGGACCCCTGCGTTAAAGCATAAACTGTGCTGTGGAAACACCTGTCCCAGGTGGCAGAGCATGATGTCCAAGTGATCGCCCTTGTCACCTGTAACGACTGAGGGTCCAGAAGCAGGACCCTTCGATTCTGTGCGTGGCTCCCTCACGTGGCAAGCTTAGACCACCTTCCAGCCTGACCCACGAGTGCCCCCCGGGTCTGGCGTCCCTCTCTGCATTCCTTGGCTTTGTCACTCAACGATGACGTCCTGGCTCAACACATGGCTCACCAACTGCAGGGTGATTCATCGGAATCAGTTTAACAGGTGAGCTGTGTTACAGAACATGCCTTTTCAGCACTGAATCGAGAAATGCCGCAGAAAGCCAGCGCTCTGATTCTTCTACCCAGGACTAAAAGAACAAAAAGAGCATGCAAGATCTGCTGTACTCCAGAGCAAATCTGCAGCAAGCTTTAACCATGTCATGCTGGCACCCATCTTAACCTGGTTAACAGGAACCAGGGTTACTTCTCAAAGAAGACTATAAACTAGGACTTGAATCTGATTAGCACAGCTCTGCCGCCACTTTCAGTCCCTCAGTCACAGCTGAAAAATCTGGGGGCGCCGCACCTTCCCTGAACCCCAGCGTACATCCACACCTACCTACCTACCTATCTTATCTATCGGATTCATTTATCTTAGCTAAATTATGAACAGGTTTCATCATAGCAAAGCACATAGTAACAGATGGCACAAACTGAGAAATAGTAACTGTTTTATTGTTCAGTGTATCTTACCCCTAGTAAGCAGAGAAAATAAGGTTTAAGGCAAGGGTAATGAATGGGGTAGAGAAGTTAAGGGGCTTGGGAGAGAGGGATTCCAGTCCCCACTCAGCCATAAAGCTCGCCAGCTGAGCTAGCTGCTGATCCTCAGCCTGCCCTACCTCACAGGGTTGTTCTGAGCCTAAAATGGAGAGGAGAACCTTGCAAGCTGCCTTTCATTCCTTGCAAAAGGAAACCAGGCAAGAGAGAAACGTAACGTAGCGCAAACGACAACAATATAACCTGCCCACAAACATCCTCCCTGCACAGGCAATCTCATCGTTTGATATTCTGCCCAAACGGATTTTTGTTTTTAGTGAACTATCAGAGCCTGGAAGGAAAAATTGGTGTGACTTCACAGGATCCAAAGCCAAGACTGTTCGGTGGAGTCAACTAGTGACCGCAAGCGCTGCCTCTCCGAGGCTTTTGGGCAGATCCAGCAAGCGAAATGCAGATGTGCCGTTTGAGCACTGCTCCCGAGAGCCAACATAAGCAAGTCTGGATGCAGAGCCGGCACTGCCCCGTATCAGTCATCGAGCTCCACTCTGGCATGTTTATTTTAATGGCCGGGGGGGGGGGGGGGGGCGCCTGTGGGAGTAAAGCAGCAGCGTCTTCCCAAGAAGAGGAGCAACCCAGAATACAAATGCTGGAAGGCACCGCACTAAGTGATTTGGACGGCTTGATAAAACAAGCGGAGCGCTCCACACCACTTAGCGCCGAATGAGTTTGGTTTACAATACATTAATATTTGAAAGGCTGGGGCCTAAAAGCTTCCATTTAAAGCAGCACATTAAAGGGAACGTGTGGCTGTGCATACACTGTGGATCAGCAGTCTTGCCACGCCAGCGCAGCATCCGCCTCCGAGCACATAATGCGGCAGTTCAACACATCTCGGCTCTCCTTCGGGCGATACAGGCCTGCAAGCGCTCGCAGCTTCTACGGTAAGCGTGAGGCAATGCCAGCGAATCATGAAAATGGAGGCTGGGGACGCGGCTGATGGGGGGCCGCCATGGAGTGCCCGTGCCGCAGACAGCGCTTGGTCCCCCTCCAAGATTTGCGAGTGCAAAATAAATTATTAGCAAAATCAGCACGTGCTTCATCTGCACAGCTTTACACAGTTCAGGTTTTCTTGGCACAGACCCGTTTTGCTTCCTTTTCCTGCTGCAAGCTGTGCAGAAAGCTGCGTGCAACGGTATGCCCGGATTTGCGTGTCGCCGGCAAAGGCCGCCGTGTTACCTGCAGGGGCGCTGGGGTCCCTGAGCCAGCCCTTGGCCTGGTTCATCTTGGAATCTATTAAGGCCAGCGCTCTCTTCATGGCTTCTGTATCCTTTAGAAAAAGAAGAGAAAGGGGGGTTTATCCCAGTCACGCACCGCCAAATTCAAACGTTGATGCAACTGCAAAGCACAACGCCAAGTACGTTCTCTTGTGTTCAAATCAACTCGCCAACAGGTCAGTGTTAAGTATCAGATGCAGTCTCGTCACTCAAAATGCAGGAGTGGTCACATGCACTGGTTTTGGGTGAAGAGTCCTCTGCCTACGTGCTCCTCCAGGAGCGGGGCTGTTCCTACTTGCTGGGACCCGAGGCAAGGGTGCGAGGGGAGAAGGCAGGCGCAGCCCCATGTGGGTTCATCATGAAGAGCATCGCCAGGCAGTCGGCTTTCCCGCAAACCCAACCTGGCTTTCAGGGTTTGGGCCCCAGTGACGGAATAGCGACCGAGCAGAAGCAGCCATCTAATCCGGCGGGCCGTACGAGCAACAGTAGGCAGGAACGCGACTTCCCCGTTCAGGCCATTCCTCGGACTACAAGACGCTGGGGACCGAAACAAGAAACGGCCTCCGGCTTTGGCTCCCCGGGGCCTGAGGAGCAAGGGGTGGCAGGGCGAAGAGGCTGGCAGACAAACCCAGCAAGGCATCACTTGGCCCTTTTGCAGCACGAGAGAGAGAAAACTGGGTTAGGCGGCATGACCCAACACAAGCGACAACAGGGTTCAAACAGGCAATGGAGCTGGGCCTTGCGATGCTGCCTGGAAAGAGGCAGCACTCATTATTCGGCCAGTCATCCGAAGACAAGAAGAAACGTGGCTTGGAAGACCTCTTGGGCTGGGAGTGGCCACTGCAGGGCCTCTCTCCTTATTACCGTCCCTACAGCCCCGCTAGGCTGAGTCCCCAGAAGCAACAAGTGAGCTCTGTGGAAAGAAGACATTCCCTGAGGTGCCCCAAGCTTCCCAGATGCTGTCAGGTTTGCAGTCCAGGCTTCAGAAGAGCCGCCTTTGCACCAGGCCAAGTGTCTCGATGGCTTTCAAAAACAGCCCCATGAAGCCTAAGTTGCATTAACCCATAGAAGAAGTTCCCGTTAGGTGCATGCCGGTAGCCACATCATCATTCCAAAAGAGGAGTGAGCAGCTTAGGAAGATGCTGATGAAAGACGCTCGAAGGCATGGATGTTCCCTGGTAGAACTGGCTCAAGAGTAACCAGTGCAAAACTACTCCTTGAAGAAAGCACCATCTCATCCAGAGCAGGCCAACCACATCTTCCTAAGCCGTGTGGGCCCTCAACCACCACCACCATTTTATTTAGGCTTGGACTCATTTGAGTGGCCTTTATCCAGCCCATCGCTGCCTCCAGGCATCTGTACGGGGTAGCCAGTGTGACATTTGCCACAGGGAGAGACAAGAAATCAAGCCTGGATGTCAGTAGTCAGCATACTGGTGACACCTCACGCCAAGCTACTGGAAGGCCCCACTCCATGGTTTCATGGAGGATGTTAACTACACGGAGCAGATAAGCTCAAAGCCACTGGAATGCCCCAGATACGCTCCCGCGAGGGGCTTGCCAATGGCATGGACACGGAGCCAGGCAAGGCACCTAATGCTTATGCCTGATCCCTGCAGGCAGCCAGGATATATCAGAAGCCGCTGAGAGCTCCTACCATGATCCACAGGGTCATCCTCTCCCCACATCTCAGGCCATCACCAAAGGCAAGCAGTGGAATCTGAGTCTCAAAGGTGGATGGGGAGCCAGACTGGTTTTGCCTATGTCAGCCTTTCCTAACATGCTGCCCTCCAGATAGGCCAGCCTACAACTACCATGACCCCCGCCAGCTCCGCCAATCAGACAAAGCTCAGAATTCGTTGCAAGCACACAATCGCCTCAGGCAAAACCCCCCTCAACATATTAAAGCCATGGCAAGTCCCTGCTCTCCACTCTGACTTGGCCACCCTTCCCAAACCATGAAGCTCCAAGAAATGCAGGATTCCTCACTGACAAAGCAGCCCATCTATTGACGGGCAAGGGGTCACGCCCGGAAATTCCCGACTTCTCCTTCACCAATCGAAAACCTGACACCCACTCCTAAAAATGGGCGCAACCAGCATTTCCCCTCGCTAACTGTGACTTTGGTGAGGCTTCGCCAGGCTTGGATGGCATATTATAATGCAGGATGGCACAGTGTGTCACCACCAGCGTTTCCTGAGGAGCAGCGCATGGGGGGCTCAGAAGAGCTAATATCCGCGTAGAAGGAAAAGCCAGCAGGGAAGAGGAAGCCCCGTGCGGTGCCCCATTTCTCTGCTTCCCCAACGGCTCTCGTCAGGGCACCTCCAGGAGGTTCGGCTTCTCAGCTCGGAGTGGAATCGGGCTCAGCGCTTCCCCTTTCCCCCAGCATCGCCCCCCGGATGTCCCCACTGTGTGAGCCAGGTCCAAGGAGCCCCGTTGTCCTGTGGTGCGACCAGGACAATGAAGCAGGGACCCCCAGCCTTCTGGGGCGCACTGAGGGACTTGAGAAGCTCCGGCGGGTGCCCCACAGCACGGCTCCCGTGCAGGATGTGGCCAATCGCAGAGTGACTGCTGTGGGGGAACGACTTGCCACAAGTGCCCCGAGGAGCTGAGTGTGTGTGCTCGCACCGGGGTGGGGGGAATGAAAGGCCTCCAAGTGGAAGGTGGCGGGAGGAAATAAGAGAGCAAAGGGACAGACGAGAAGGAAAGAGCGGGGCCGGTGGCTGGAAGGGGGAGGGCGGCAGGGCTGGAGGTGGGGAGGCGGCAGGAGAGGGGCTGGCGGAGTGGGAGAAGAGCACATGGAAGAGGGAGGGAGAAGGCAAGGGGCTGGGGGAGAGGAGTGGGAAGCCCGGGAGCAGAGCGCAGGGGCAGAGCAGGAAAGGAAGTGAGTGGGGAGGGCTGGGCCGGGCTCTCCCCCGGCTGCGGAAGAGCTGATTAGCGCCAGAATTGTGAACACTAAGGACCCCGGCATTCTGACACGTTTAAGCACTTGGGATCAACCGTGCGGGGGGAAGCCTGCCACGGAGGCTGCTTGGTGGCGAGCCGCCCGAGGCCCGCAGGGGACGGCTGTGGCTGAGAGAGTCCCCAGCCAGCGGGCGAAGGGAGCACCAAGGAATGTGGCCAAGCCCACGCCTCTTCTCATCGGGAAAGGGGCCAGCCCTGCATGAGTCACCGGGCAAAGCCGAGGGGAGCCCTCCCGCAGGGCTCACGCAGAGCACGGCCCCGGCACGAAGGCTCCGGCACGATGCGCTCCGCGATCCTGCCTGGGCCACATCTGCTTTCATGCCCAAAGAAGGCAGCACTGGAAGGAGACCCTGGCTCCAGCTTTCCGGCCTGGCTGCCAGCTGAGTCACCCGGCATGTGCTCCATGCTCTGAGGGACCCAAACGTTTGAGACAGGCAACGGAGGAGATCCCAGCCCAGGGAGCTTTGGCACTGGGGCAGTACAGGAACCACAGAAATAAAGAACGCTAGTCCCCGTGGCACAGCGGAGAACACCTGTGGCACCCGGTGCAGCACTCGTGTGTCAGGCGTGCCCTTTCAGGAGGGGGCCGGCGGCGCCAGCGATTCCACTGCAGCTTCTTAATGCTGCCCACGAAGTATCCCACGAAGCTCAGCACAGCCGGGGTCGTTGGCGCAGGGTCAGGCATGCAGAAAGTTTGCCAAGCCGCTCTCCCAGGACTTCAGAACGCAGAGCGGACTCGTGTGGCCTAGAAGCTTCGCTCAGGGTCGCCCAAGGCAAAGCCACCCCTGCACGAGGAGGGCAGAGCTGGGCGGCGACAGAATGCTTGTAGAACGCACGTGCGTGCGTGCATACACACGTGCACACCCATGCAGCCCTGTGTCGCTACCCCACAAATTGGCCAGCTGAGCCACAGAGGGCACAGGTACTGATTAAACGCGGGAACCCGGCACGGAGAAATAGGGGCGCCCCACAAGGCATTCCAGCAAGCCACCCCCAAACCCGCTCTGGGCAGGACATGGCACTGCGGATGGTTTTCCATGGGTCATGGAAACCCCAGCCTGGCCTCACGGGAGCCAGTCCAAGAGGAGGAAGGTACAGGTGTCTAGTGCTGTCTCTTCGAAGCTTTCTTAGACTTGCCAACATTTTGCTTTTGCCGCAGGAAACCGCAAAGGTAGGTCTGATGGAGCAGCACCCCGTTACCTGACTGCTCCTCCAGCTCAGAGCTGCTAAATCCCTTTCCTAAAAGGTGCAGTTTAGCTGAAGCAGCACCTTCAGCAGTTCCACGATAAGCCTATTTCCATTTTAACTCGTATAACAGAGTTACTACTATCTATTCAAGGAAGTGGGCAAGGAAACAGGATCTTCAGGCAGGAGTACGAGTGTTTTCATTCAACACAGTGCCCCATTTTAGGATTCCGGAGTGATTGAGAATTATGAACTCAGAAGAAAGTTTCCACAGAAATGTTCAGACTGCTTGGTTCTGGCAACCCTCTTTGTTCATCACATAATCCGTGCCCTTCTTGTAACTGTGCCACTGCAGCTGCTGGGACCCATTTGGAAACCACAACAATGACAAATGCCAAAAACACAAGTTTCCTTTAACAGGGGAACCTGTCATACCCAACTGTGGAACATTTGAGGAGGAGAAAGCCCCACCCAGCAGAAAAGCACCGGCCGTTTTTAGTACTGAGTAGGATTTTTTTGAAATGTGATGGAAAATCAAGACATGTTCCTGGGATTAAGGACATGAATGAACCTATTTGCGACCACGCAGGAGTGGCTTCCTTGATCAAGGCCACCAACCGCCTCACACAGACTCATCTGCTCTTGACCAGCAACGCTGTTCTCCATGTCCTGCCATCCGCACAGCTTCAGCAGCAAAATCAAATCTCCTTGCATCTATTACTACTGAGAAAACGGATTCTCACAAGCATGCCATTGCCCCTCTTCCATAAAGCCTTAAACTAAGAAAAATAGTTGTCAAAGTATGTCTAAAGCATTGCTTGGGCTACAACCTGCTAATTCCTGATGTGAGGACAAGACAAGAAACATACTCCAAGTTCACCAGGAAACTGATTGTCATTAAATCGTATTAGCATGTCTTGAGATAGCAGGGATGGCTGTCAGCAGCTCAGAAACAACTCCAAACTGCACCGTCTAACTGGCAAAGTTTTAAGTGGATTTTAATACCCCTGCCTTCAGGAGTGAGTAGGGTGTAATAACCCACACAAAAAATGCACGGCACACAATCTGCACACGCCACACCATTGTCATCAAAGGGCCATGCTTTTCAGTTTTAGTAGAAAGGGGAAAGGGAGTGGGTTGTGGAAGAGTGCTTACCTTCTAAAAGGTGAGAAAAAGGTCAGAAAAAATAGAAAGAAAAATGCATAAAAGAAGTCATGATACTATTGCATTAAGCGACACAAGTACAGATCACGGCAGCTTTCGTTTTCAAGTGACAGCGAAGCTGCGAATTCCCCACAGCAATCTCTGCTTGGCCAAAACGGTGCTTTCCCCCCTGCCCCACCCAACTAAAATCTCCAGGGACAACTCGCGGCCCCTTAAGGCGCCCACCCCAAGATGCCTGGCACCGTTTTATCGCTACTGCTGGCATCAAGGGGCACCGTGTGGCTCGGACTGAAAGGCAACTGGTTCTCAGCGAGCCAAGACGACATGAAATCATGCCGGTTCTTCCTGCAGTTCTCACAGTGGATGCAGGATCCCGGATGAGGTCGCAGGACTGGGAACTGTGGTGGAGCGGGAGGGGAATCCATCAGCGGTGGGACTGATGCAGTCCCTTGGCGCGCTCCCAGTTCCTGAGCCGGTTTTCACCAAGCCGCAGCTCGGCGGTGGAGCACGTGCTCTCTGGGCAAAAGCTCCACATGCATTCCAGGACCCCTCGGGCAGGAGAGGGAAGGTCCCGCCTGGAACCTGGACCCCGACCAAGCGGACAATGCTGAGCTGGGCCAAGGCAGCTGCTGACATCCGTGTGAAGAGGAGAGCCCCGTCGGGCGTGTCTCAGCAGTGTTTGGGTGCTCATGAGCACTGCTGCAGAGCAGGGTCTGCCTCCTGCAGCCGTTGCCACCCCTTCCCGAGAAGATACCGTCCTGCTTTTCCAGGTTCGAGGAGGAGGAGGCCAAGCATCCTTCAGTTAGGGGCCTGCGGTGCCCCGGCCCTCCCCCTGACCTGGCTCTGGCTGGCTCACCCCTGCGCCAGAGCGACAGCAGCCGGGGGCAAGCCTGCCTCCACGCCCAGCGCCTCCGGCAAAGGCTCCACATCCTTGTCCTGGTGTGTTTCCCTTTTTGTCACGTACGGCTTCCAAACCTTCCGTGTTTCCTCCCTGCAACTCTGGACCTGGCTTCCCACCAGAAGCAGAGCCAAGCACCATTTTGACGGCTCACTTGTGCCAGCCTGTCTTTGTCCCAATCACAACGGCAAGAGCCCTTTGATCCCCAGGGCACCCAGCTGAGTCAGGCTGCCATGCCCCCATTCAGACCAGGGGCAGGCCAAAGGCCAGGGGCTCCCTCCTCCCGTCTCGCACGTGGCTTCCAGGACCACGTGAGCCGCGATGTGGCGCCCACAGGGCCACCCTCCGCCCTTCAGATCAAAATCGGAGACCAGGCCTGGCACCAGGTTCCCAGGCCTGGCTCTAGCATCACGCGGCCAATTCTCCCACTAGGACGTTCTTCCCTGGGGAGAAGGGGCAGTGACACAGGCAGCAGCACTCCGATCGCGTCCCCAGGCTGGGCCGCGCACCCACCTTGCTAGCCCAAGCATCTTCATCCCAGGACGTGAGCTGCAGCACACGGATTATCTCGTTGATTTCCGCACTCATCTTCTCCACTGTGAAGTTGCGGTTCTTCAAGGCCTCCTCGATTCCTTGGCTCTTGGAATTTTTAGTTGTCACAAAAATCTTCATGGCTACGGAGAGTACACAGCCGATCAGCAAAGCCTCACAGAAAGCCTTGCGGCGCGATGCAGATGCCCGCCTGCGCACCGTCGAGCAGAATGATCGATCACCCCCGTGGGTGGCTTTTGCCCCAGGGCCTGCTTGCGTAGCTTGTACACTGAGGCTGGGCCTGATCCAATACATCAGGGGGCTGCTGTCACTGGAGCTTTTGAACCCAGAGCACAGCCTGGGCCCCGGAGATTTGAGGGAGCACCTCTTTCTCACTATTTCCCTCCGACTTGGGATGAGTTCAGATCGGGAAGGCCTTGTGCAGGTGCATCCCTGTGTGAACCAAGGACAGGACCCTTAATTGCTGCCTCTGTTTTTGTAGAAAATCTACCAGATCTGTTGTTTCCTTTCTGAGGTGACCCGAGGAAATTTTCCCGCACAGCCAAGATTTCAGAGTTGGCAACCCACACTTTAATCCATTTAGAGTTCCCATTTTGAGGGAATTTTGCTTTCTTATTTACAATTTTGGCAATTTTTTTTTTGCTAAATGTTATTGTATTCTACTATGTTTGCAAATCTGATGGTAGAAACCTGGAGGGAGGATGGGATGGGCAGACGGTTAGCTGTTGCTTCAAATTACAGCTATGATATTCTGGAAAGCAGAAGAACAGAGGCTTAGTAAAATTACTCGACCAAGATATCATTTCAGGCACGTTAAATTCAGCGAGAAATTGAGTATCACCAAGCCATCTTCGTGTATTTCAGTCAACTGCTCTAGAAACAAGCAGCCCTAACTGTGAGGCTTCTGATGCGTAATCTGGGGAACCAACGGGGAATGAATGGGGGTGGCTGGGTGGGCGGCAGGGGAGACTTCTGTGCATTTCATCCGAAGAGGAAGAGGCAGCTTCAGACCAGGGCCGGGCCGCCTTTGGGTACTCCACCTCTATACGCTACGAGGGCCGGCCTGCGTGCCCACCCTGTTGCGCTCTTCAATACAGTGCCGTTTCAGGCAAGCGGCACAAATATAATCACATATAAATAGCCCGTCAGTTCACGTGCCACAGAGAGCTCAGCTCACAGAACGTAAATAGGACACGGGCAGGAGAGGCGGGCCAGGACACGGGAGCACAGCTTTCCTTGCAAGGTGGCCACATTAAGCAGCCACACGGGGTTTACCAAGTATGCAAGTAGCCATCTGTTTCTGAAATGCTTTCTGCCTGCATCTCTCTCTCCCTCAGTTCTGCTTTCCATGCTGCCCGTCGGCCAAAGTTCACCACCAGCCACAGTCTTGCCAGGTATGACTCTGGGAAAAGCGCATCCACACAACCCGGAGCGTTTCAAGGCATGCTTCCGCCTCGCTGGCGCCCTGCTGAGTCACCTGAAATGAGGACGGGCAGCAGTTCCTTGACAGTGTTCATGGAGTTCACCAGCATGACTCGGTGCTCCTGGTGCGTCAGCTCCTGCTGCCGCTCGTCAATCATCTTGGCCATCTTAGTCATGCCTAGTGGAGGAAGGACAGCGAGTCACACGCCTTTCTCAGCTCTGTGAGCTGCTTTCCAGCCCGAGCTGCCACTCTGAGCAGGAAGAGGGCACACGAAATCCCCGTTTTGGGCGTTGGCCTGCTGGGACCTCGTGGGGACGGAGCACGATGCAAGCACGGACAAACCCTTCACTGAGGCTCAGCGAGGGGCTGCCAGCCACGAATGGCCTGTGCAGAAGTCCCAGCTGGGGAACAGAGGCCAGGTTGAGAGAGCAGCGCCTGAGTGCTGGACCATGCGGAGACCAGGGTTCACCACCCCTCCATCAGCCACCCCATCCCGGGGCTTCCCCATTGCCGCTATTTGCCCATGAACGGGGTGGGACCCCTGCGCTAAGAGGTGTGCCCAGCAGCCCGCCTCGTCTGGTCCCAAGCCTCAGCCGCCAGCCCACAAATAGCGGCACTTTGCCAGCTTGGGTGGACTGATGTGCTGACGAGCATCTCCGCATGGCGACCACCTCGGGCACGGCTAAGAATAGCGCCTGTAGCACGAGAGGAATGTTCTCGCCTCTCTCTGTCGTGCGCCCTCTGCAAAACTGGGCTCCACAGAAACGGCAGAGGCGTGGAAGAGGCAGCGGGCCGCATCCGCTTCCCTCGGAAGCAGGGTGAGCTCAGGCCGCACCGCTCCAAGGTCTGGGTTGATCTGGAACCTGCAGCACGCAAGCAGGGATCCAGGAGAGCCCCCACTGTGGAGGTCCTGGATAGCGTGTAAAAGGAAGAGCACAACCGCACGCGAAGGGGAACAGGGGAATGTCTAACCTGGCCCCAGGTTCTTTGTATATGTCACCAGGTCCTCCATGGTCTCCACCACCTCAGCCACCGTTAGGTATTCCAGAATTCCTTTGCAGACACGGATAATTTTACGGACCTTAAATGGACATTTAAGAATTGAGTGCTTCCTTTTATCACAAGCCAAAATGTCTTAGGTTGAAAGGATGAAAAGCGGAACATGTGTAACCCCAGTTGCAGGAGAGAGATAGGCTTTCTCATGTTTTATTTAAATCTGAAGGGATGGCTGTATTTTAAATCTTGATTAATGACATACAGCGCAAACACATTTCTGGAAGGAGACTCTTATGTAAACAGGGCTTCTTGACATGAACTCGACGCTCTAAATATTAATTCAGTGGTTTCTTCTAAAGCAGTCAATGCCTTGGAGGCAGTTTTAGGTCCGAGTGCTTGGGTGGAAGATGGCCATTCCACAGGGCTTCCCACCCACCCCATAGCCCCTCTGGCCCCCTACAAAGGATAGGGGGAGGAAGCCAGCTCCCACCTGCTCAGCCGCAGCCCAAAGGTTAGCAAACACGGCAAGAGAGTTGCTGGATGGGGGCCCTGGGAGCTCTGGGCTTTAGTCCCAACTGGCTGGGTCTGCTACTCACTCTCAGCCAAGCCTACCTCACAGGGTCGCTGTTGGGAGGAAAGAATGGAACTATGTAAACCATCTTGGCTTCCCCATAAGAGAAAAAAGAGGGGCTATGAATACAATGGAATGATAATTATACTACGATAGAACCTGCATTCGGTGAATCGCCCAAATACCCAGTTACTGTTGCGCAGAAGAAAATGAGGGCCCGCACCTCAGCCTCGTCAAACGTCAGAAGCAAGTCGGAGGTCCCGGAAAGGATGCCTCTCGATCCATCAATGAGGTAATCTCGGGCAGGCACTGAGTAGGGGTCCTTCTGGAGCATCTGAGCCGCCTGGACAAGCTTTGTGCAAGCATTTTCCACCCTGCGAGCAGGCAAGGAGAAAGAGGGATTACTCTGTGTTTTGTTACCTGCACGGGGTGGACAGAAGGGCAGCTGCCCTAGGAGTGACCCGTGTCTTCCTTCTGCAGCACAGGGGTTACGTAATCGGAGGTCAAATCACTCCTACCTTCAGCCGCACGCTTATTTGAGCCCTAATTAAAGGAGAAAGTCTCGGAGCAAAAGCACATGTTCTGGCTTTACAAACGAGTGCCAGGGAAAGCAGCATGTTAGTAACAACGGCCTTGTTTGGCTTGAAGGCTGATTTGGGAGGACGCGCTTCAAGGTGGCAGAGAGCAGATCTGCTGGCTGCTCAATGCAAGTTCCCAATCCCACGGTGCCCCTGCTGCTGCAGGCAGGAAAACGGAGAGCGCCACTCAGCTGCTCCACCGCGTGCCGCAATCGGAATACGCCTGCGACAAACAGAAGTCCATTATGCCACGACCTCGCTCGCACACACACTCGGAACTTGGCCCACGCCTGTTGAGCTGCATCAGCACAGAGTCCGCTGACTGAACCTGGCAAGAGACACGATCCACACTCTGTGGAAGTTCTTCTGGTTCCAGGAGGAAGGCAAACGCATCAGGGAGGAGGTCAAGAGGAAGATCTGTGTCAAAGCAACTGCTCAGCTGCTCTTCTGAGGCCCACACTGGAAACCCAAGATTTACCTGACCAAGATTTATTTTCCTCCAAAGAGCAAGTATTTCACTTCCAATTGTATGGCTTTCATATTTGGCTTTTTCATGCATGTTTCAAGTATGAAGAATACACCATACGATGCACCTGAAGCCAGTTCACTCCCAGGGCAGGGTGGGCAGCTACTTACAGAATTCATTACCTTACAGGAAGAATTCTGTGCTTAACAGATCAGTCATCATTTGCAATACGATCACGATCTTTTTATTCACAAGTGGTTTCTAAAGGGTCGAGGCTGCGATCAGACAACACATTCCTGCAATGGGTGCGATGATATAATTTCTGCAAGCCTTATCTGGGCATCATGGTAGGGCAGGGGCATGGAAATACGGCAAAGTTCTTGGACTGCACAGGCTGCCAGAGCCAGTGGCAAGACATCGCACCTCTGTGTGTCTGGCCACCTGCAGCACACGGAATGCTGTTTTGGGCCATGGCTGTCGCAGGCACCAGGCTGCTGGGTGGCCAAATGACACCATGGCACAGATGTGGGCACAACATCATATTAGCAGGCCAAATTTAGCAAAAGAGGAAATATTATTCTCTTGGTTGGTTTTAGAGACCAGCTGATCTTCTTATAAACATCCGCCTTCCCAGAAAAAAAGCACTGTCCTTTCAAAACGGAGCACTTCAGCCTCTAAGAATGGAGGATAATTTTAGAAGCATATAAATCTTGCCTGCTGCACACCAGTTCCTTCAAACACACCTATCTGTCGTGCACAGGCACTGAATCTGGCAAGTCGGTTTCTTTATTATTCTCTGCCAACAGGATTTACAATTGTTGGCACTTCTTGTGCACGTGAGCCCTAGGAATTAAAGAACCCGCCAGCAATTAAGGTTGAGTTGCTACACATTCTTGGTACAGCTTCGGGCTGGATCTGGGCCACAGGACTGAGAGCCTGCAGGTCGGGTTCACAGGAGCGAAATTAAAACTCCATCTCCATCCCGACACACAGAAAATGAGGCCAGGGAAAGGTTCTCCTGGGCACACTAGTTTTTACGCATAGGTGCAGTGCTCTCTTCGCATGGGGGACCATCCAGGAAGGGCAGTGTGAGTTAATGCACTTGTGTGCTGCCTCACAGCCCAAGCGCTCTCCGGGTGACTCACGTGGCGCACCTCACACAACAACACAGCATAAAAATAAATTAAACAATACCAGCTAAAAACCACATAAAATCCAGCTGATATAAAAAGCAAAAAGCCAGGCACACCTCTTTCGGAAGAGAAATCCAAAGATAAGGTGCCATTACTTAGCTAATTCCCCCTCTCTTTATTCCTTCCACAGCTAGTGACCAGTTTGGAGGGCCATTTAAAATCAGAAAAATACACCAGGAAGGAAGCAGGAAGAAGCTCAACAGCCCTGATGCTGCAGAAGCAGCTTCCGAGGCTGCTCTGAAGCCCGGAACCTGGACCGGATATATTTACTTCATTCATAGCCCAACACCCTGGCAAAGGGATTTGTTTTCCAGGATCCGAATGCGAACATCTCTGTCCCTCCTCAACATCTAATGAAGGACCTGCCCTTTCGAGCAAATGGCAAGAGGAGCTGGCATTTGACCATGCTCAGGAAAGCAATTCAATGATAGTGGAAGCGATTATTATGCCCTGAAGGCCTGGAAGAACCAGATCATTACACGTTCGGAAACGGAAGGGCTGCGTTAAGTTAAGACCCAATGCCAGCCGATTCCCTTTCTCATGTCAAGGGCTATTTGAGCCAGGCCAAGGGCAGAGAGGGAAGCAGCAGCGATGCTACAATGGCCTCTTCATCCAAACAGAGAACCGTCGCTGCAGAAAAGAAAGATGCTGCTGCAGGTCACACGTGTGGTTCCAAGCACTGAAGATACAGGGTCCTGGAGGACTGGGTTACAGGCCTAAGCCAAGCCTAAGCCTAATGAACCAGAACATTCAATAAGTAATATGTTTCTTTGCTAAATAAGGTAGAATAACGTGTTGCACGTTAAAGAACTGAAGGTGGACCAACTTTTCATTTCAATGGTCCAGTTTCAGACTGACGCTGGAGGATCTCCACCCTCTACGCTGACCCACTTGGCTGCACACAGAAAACACGCGAGTCAAGGCGGGTCCCCGTCCTCCTCCTCCTCCCTGACATATTAGCTCGCTACATGCGGGGCTGTCGCTGCAGAGGAGCCATCCGTCTCAAGGCCTCTCCTGCAGTCTGACGCAGTGCGTCTCAGTGAAAACTGCACTGTAAAACTGCCTATATGAACTGCTATGTGCACTTCTAATTTCTGTTTACTTACTTTATGAATGCAGGCGGCATGTCCCTCTTCAAAATCTGGTCTTCGGTTGTCTGGACAGTTTCTTTCCCGACCTGCATGAAACAAGAGAGAGGCATGTTTTCACCCTTGGCCGCATAGTAATGGTCTTAATGAAGTTACCAGAATAAACAGCTTTCCCAGAGCCCTGAAAACGTGAAGATTGCCTGTGTGACTGACTGGGACATGCTGGAGTGCCCTAAACGGATGGGACACCAGAGCCACCCCAGGTGGGAAGGCGCCGCCTTGATCTGCTTTGTGGTTGCTCAAAAACGGACCGAGACACACTCTACTCTCCGAGCTGCATGGCTCCCTGTCTCTGGTGTTGCCTCTCCCACGAATTCCCCGGATGGCCTAAAGCAGGCACTCTGCCCTTGCGTTAGCGGATAACCATACTGACCTGCCTTTTGAGGCTGTTCCAAAGCCGATGCACAAAGCGCTAAAGAGCCAAACACTCGCCACCCCGGCAGCTCCAAAATGGAGGCTTAAGTAGAAGCCCTCAATTCCTCGTCCCACCGAACCACGGGCCCACAGCTGCCACCGCTACCATGCCAAGCGGCAGATGCCACGGAGTGAAACATGGCGGTTCGCTGCCACGTCCCAGTGGATACCTGGCAGCTCCATCTCTCACCACACTTTCCATCATCCCTGCAGCTCTCCAGGTAAGTCCCAACTCTCCCAAGGTGAGAAGTCACCTGTTCTCGAAACAGCTGAGGATTCTGAGGCGGGGAGAGAAAGGTCTGCCACACCTCTGGGCTCCTCTGAGTTCTTCCTAAGTAGCTACTCCTTACTTCCTGCTTCTTATGGTGGGCCCTGCGCAGTCCGCTGCACAAGGGGGACAACCTCACAGCCCTGCCCTGAGCAGCTTGCCATTTAAATCTGTGCCGCCTGCAGAGAAGGCAAAAAGGGAAGGGTAAAGCCGAGACAAGCGGCAACGCGAGCAGCACAGCTTCTTCCTCTTGCGGTTTGGTTTGGGGTGGGGTGGGGCGGGACTAGGGGATCAGACCTCAGACTAAGCGGCATCACCACAGCTGGACCCCGGGCTGGGCCAGGCGCACTGCAGCAGAGGTCCAAATGCCACCGTGGTGGTGGCATGCTCACTTCACCATTCGCCCCGTCCCAGCAACGCTCCCGAGGAAGCAGGGAACGGTCACGGTGACCAATGGTTGCGCTGCGGATGGGTTGCCCCCGCTTAAATACAGGAGAGCACAATCAGACAGCGGATCCTGGCAAGGACCCTCGCCTCTGGGGAGGCTGCAGGACTGCCCCACGTCCTCTTCCCCACCCATTTCCATCGGCGCCGGAGATGTGCGAGCCGTGCGACTCTGGTGGGAATCCCAGCGACTCTGGCCCGCTGCAGCTGAGCTCCTGCTGCGCACACCCAGCTCTGGCGTGGCTCTTTCCAGCAACGGAGGCTGCGCAAGCAGCTTCCCCTTTCTGCGCGACTTGCCGCAGCCGCTGCTTGTGATGTCGCCCGCAGTGTGGTAGGAGGTTGCCAGGCGCGCATCCCTCGCCCTGCAAGCGCTCGCCGACTTCCTCTTGGCTCGGCCCCCTCCCTGAACAAGGGCTGAGCGCCAGAGGGACGGATTCCATGGGGCTCTGATGTATTGCTGCATCGAAAGAGTTTCCTCCAGAGCACCCTCTCCTGCAGAAGAGCTCCCTGGCCGTCGGGGGCGGCCCTCCCGGCTCCCAGCACTTGTGTCTTGCGCCTCGCCCCTCCTGGCCTGTCCCCCGGACAGAACTGCGTCCCCACACATCCCCCTCGGACTCCAGCACGCCATTGCAGGCTGAGTGCCCCCAGACTGGGGTAAGGTCCCATGAGCAGGTTGCCGGTATCCCAGAAAGCCAGGGACAGGGTTGGATCGAGTCCTTGAAGCAGCCTCCCATCCTTCCCTTGAAAACTCCTACAGAGGATATCCGGAATGCTCCTTCCTGCTGGAAGCCAGGCAAACTGCGTTTAGAGGAAGGCACGAGCAGGTGGAAGGGGAACGAGCAGGTGTTCAAACAAAGGGCAGCGGAGCAATTTGTTCCCTGGCTAACTTCGTGGGCAGCAGGAAGAGAAGGCGGGGCCTTTCCTTTTCTTAAGGAAGCTCAGAGGAGAGCTGGCAAGCGATCCGGGCGGCTCCGGAGGACAAAGGCTGTGGAGTGGGGCTGAGGGGCGATCCGGAGAGGGCATCTTGGCTCAGAGCCCTCAGGTCTGAGCTCAGGCTGCAATGCGTTCGGGACACTGAGCGAAACAGGCGATGCCTGGATCGTGAATTTCTGCAAGCCAAGGAGATGGAAAGCCAATTCTTTAAAATATTTGAGAAGTGATGTGCCATATTAATTACATCTGTACTAACACACTTAAATTCCACCTTGACAGGATATCGCTACAGTTGGGCGTTCTCTTTCTACAAAGAAACGAGCCGAGGCACCTCCTCTGAGTAGACCCCACTCAGAAAGAGCACCAAGAATGCAAGAACTGCCAATTTCCTGCACTTCATCATCCCCTCTAACAGCAAACTTGTGTGGCTGTGTGCCTATCATTTTGTAAGTGAAACAGGCACCTAAAATATAGGAAGTGCTTTCTTCATACACCAGTGCCCAAACGAAAATAAAATAGAGTGTTTAACATACTAAGACACATCCCTGTGAGTTTCTCCACACTCTGGAAAGTTGAACGCCTAGAAATAAGACAATTCTAGACTAACATTCGATGCATTGTCCGAAGCAAGAATATCCAGATTCACACGCAACATCACCACACAGAACAGAGAGGGAGAGTTCACTTCTGGGCAGTTCCTGCTATGCTAAAATCCGGCGCATGTTGCTGTTGGAAACAGGAAACTGGGAAAAGGCAAGAACTTCCAAGAGCCTAAAGGAGCCCGGGGGTCAGGGAGGAATCAATTCAGAATTGTTCTGTGAGGGTAAGATAGAAGGTTAGCCCCACCTGTGATAGAAGCTCACAACAAGCCCTGATCCTTTCAGCACTACGCAGCACAGCAGGCGACTCATTCGAGAGAGTGGAGAAGAATAAAGCATGTCCTTACTCAACTCCAAAGTTCTTACTGCACGCCTGCAGAGCTTCTGTGGTCCGGGATCATGCACCATTCCTCTAAGTTCAGACTGAAACCCAGGGTGGATATACGACCCCGTGGACGCGGGAGCAGGAGCCACTGGGGTTCTGAGCATTCATACAGATGCACAGACGACATCTAGCTGGGAGATCTGCCTGACAACAGGCCCTGTGTGATGCACCAAGACCCCGAAGAAGAGCATTTCCTTACAGCCCCTTTTTGGCATCTGCACACACAGCTTCATGGAGTAACACAGTGTAAAATAAGAGAAGACCAGCATTTCCCTTTTGCAATTAACACCTCGAAAGTTGTTGGCTGGCTGAGAAAGCGTGTCTTGCCCAGCTCCAAGTCCTTGGCCCTGCCAGCCCTGAACCATCTTCAGCTCTCTGCTGAACTTCACTCCTTCCAGCCTTCTTCCCTGGTAGAGTATCTGATGCCCCAAATTTATGCAAACGAGGCACCTGGGGATGTACTAGCCTTGCTTTACGTGGTGCAATGCCAGCTATATGAGACCACGAGCATCGCTTTAGCATATTTGGTCCCTTTTGGCAATGTGCCCGAGTCCCGGTGATGTTACCCGGCATCGCATACCTGGGCTCCTTCAGTCAGTACACCTGAGCTGTTACCTCGGTCTACACGGAGATGTCGCACTGAGCTACCTTCACTTATGCACACTGCAAATATACCTCCTATTTTTTAAAATGTGTTTTGTGAACCACCCAGAGGGAGTTGGCTGTTGGGGACTATAGAAAATAAATAAATATGCAGCCAGCATTGCACATTGTTTGATCTGTTCTTTATTTTATGAGATCTTAGTCATCATATATAGAAGAGAAGACAGGTGTGTCCCGCGATAAGAACACCCACTGCTTCCCACAGGCTTGTCAGCACCGTGCTTTATGTCCCGATAAACTTGAGGCCAAGTCTGGATTACAGATTTTACAAGCCGTTGCGTCCAGCTGGCTGCTTTTGCAACTGCCGCCAAATAAGAAGCACAAACAGCCACGGCTTGTGGTGGGGAGTCGCCGGCGTCCTTACGGGGTTGCATATCACCCAAACCCGGACACACGCGAAGCCACAGTGAAGCTGAAAGCTACGGAGCCACTTGGCAGCATCGCTTGGGAAAAAGCGATGCCGTGCCAGCCACGGGGCTTCAGCCAGCAGCGGGCCCATGCGGCACGCTCTCACTGGCTTCCCCTGCACTGCTGCCAATGCCAGCAGGGTGGGGCCTCCCAGAACTCGGCCGCTGCACATGGGTTTGGGAGCCCCATGCAGGAGAGGAGCTGCCAGCACCCGCAAGGGGAGTGGGGCCAAGCAGCTGAGCCACACCGCTGCTGCAGCGGCAGAGCTGGGCTTCGGCTGGCGGGTGGGCGGGCGAGTGGGGGCTGGCTTTACAGGCTGCAGGACAGAGGAGAGCTTTGGGTGGCTGACGCCTGCTCCCCTCCTGAACTGGTCCACCGGAAGACGCAGCCGGGAGGGAACAACACTTCCCAGAAAACCCGCCTTGCTGCATTATTCCTGGAGGATCCTAAAAAACCTCAGGACGAAAGCGGAACTCTAAGAGCCGGTGTTCTTTTTACACGTTTGCTTGAAGAATCTAACGTGATGTTTTCATAGAGCCAGCTGGCCCATGGCATGACTTTACTAATCAAGACACTTATTAAACAGTGTTGAGGGATGGCGTTAATTGCATAAAGGCCTCGATTAAAGGTGCTGTGCTGGCAGAAATAAAGTCGTTAGCAGTTTTGCTTAAACAGCCAGCAAAATCGGTTTCAGATGCTCAGTTCCATTCTCCCCATTTCCTGCGCAGCACGGCCTCTGCAAGCAGTGTTCGCGGGGGGGGGGGGGGGGCGGGATATGCAGAAGCCTCTTGCCACATGCCCTGCCCCACCCCAGTGACATGGAAAAGGTCTGCCCCCAGTGTTGTATTTTTTTCTTGCTGGCTGCCAGAGTGAAGTCACCCGAACGGCTGGAGGCTGGGAAAGGCCAGCGCTCCA